TTAATCATACTTGAGGTTAAATAAAAAACATTTGAATGGGTTATTCTGGGAGATTTAAAATAATATACAAAGCTACTCATGAAATAAAAATAATAATTATTAAATATAGTGAAATAATTTCTGGATATAGTCACCCTTTTTATATTCTTAATAAATGTTATTTGAAGGGTTTTTAAATCAAATGAAAATATAGAAAAAATATTTCAAACTATTTTGAGATAAGTAAATATTTTTAGGTAATTTTTAAGTTAAGATCGAATCAAATTAGTAAAAAATATGATAATTCCAAGATTTTCTTTTTGCAAAGCTTTAAATTTATACAAAATTTTGAAACTGTACACCACTTTTAATTCCCAAAAATAATCCCTAAAAAATCAAAAAAGTCCTAATTATTAAATTCATGTTCCTAATATCTTGTCCCCTGTTGTGTCAGTCATCCAGCAACCGCAAAGCGCGTAAAAAAAATGCAATAGCAATGCTTACAATGAAGCGTCGATGGACACAAGGAGGCGAGGAGGAGGATGAGGGACACTGCGTCCTCTCTCTCTCCGTCATGTGTCGCTTTCCTTTGTCAGCTAGTTTACTATATGTATATATAGTACCTAATTTTCCTTCATGCCAGACTGCCCGTCGTCGCCTGCTGAATGCGATTCGCAACTGGCAATCTTTTTGGCCAAATTGCAATCTAAGGAAAGGTCGTGTCGTGACTGCACATGTGCGCGGAAATAATGAAAGCGGAGGCTGTGCCGTAGAGCCAGCCGGAAGCTCTGGGGAGGAAAAGCGATAATGTAGCACTATCGATTCCCCCGAAAACTTAATTTGCTACCATCGAAACCAAGAGATTACGAACAGCAGTTGGTAAATAATAAAATTAGTGTCAATGAACCTAGGCAAATATGCAAAATGGCAAAAGCCAGAGAAAAGTGGGAAATAAGCGCGGAAAACACTTGAAAAGTCCCACATGCAATTGTCCTGGAAATCAACCCTTGTCATACATAATTCGCACAAAAGCCCGGGTTATACGCTCGAGTGATAATGGGTGGTGGTGGCGGTGGTGCAACTGGCGACTTAATTAAAAGTTCTCCATGCCGCAATAAAAAGCCCACACGAATGGAAACCGAATTCCTCCCCCATTTGGACACTTTGTAAAGTGCGTAAAAAGTACATTTGCTTTTGTTGTCCCTGAACTCAAATTGTAAACTGTAACCAGAGCGACGACAGCCAACGATACTAGCCCAAGTAGAATTGGCATCGATACGTATGGCACCCCTTGGCGCGAAATAGAGAAGCTCAGTGCCCACAGTGGTCACTGGGTGCTAGTTACCTTGAATTTACTACACTTTTAAGCTACGATTAAGCAAAGACTTGAGGTTAATTAGGGAATTACAAAGAATTCAAGGGTCTTTTGTAGTCTGAGGGCAAAATAAAATAGTTTGGGGAAATTGTAGATTATTTACTCTTTTATTTTAAAGCTTATATAACATTTTTTTTCTTTTTAAAATATTTATTTACTTTCCTAATCACAAGTTTTAATTGTTTTGAATATAATATTGAATAGGAATTGCCATGCCGCAAAATCATAGATTATGTTATATGGGGTTTACTTGGAACTTGAAATTATAGGCCTTGAAAAACCCATTAAATAGTAGTTTTTAAAGACTAAAAAAGTATGGTTTTATGATTTTGATAAGCTCAAAGCATAACAAAACTATAAACAATTGTGTAGAAATTCTTCTAAACCCTAGTTTAACCTTTTCTTTATAAATTTAATATATTAATCTATAAAAAACAGAGATAAAAATACATTTTCTACTCAATATGGAGTAATATAAACACACTCTTCTTCTAAACAAATAATAATCACACTAATAGAACCACAACTCAGCTACATTACTGTAATAAACACTGTATATAACCCCAGAAATCTCTGCAAATTTGCATCAAAAGTACATAAAGTACATAGTATATGAAATATATGATAAGTACCATCCATAAATGGTGGTTGATTTTCCCCAAGTATGCGTTTGCATAGGGATTTCCGCTTATCAAGAGTCCTCAAAGAGACCACACAAGGCTTTACTCTATACTATATATCCAAAAACAAGCCAACGCCAGACGACTCTTCCCCCATGATGATGATTTATTTCGAGTTGAGACGCCATAAACTGCATAATCGATACAGTTCTGCAGTTTATCGCCTCCCAGAAGTTAGTGCCAGCGCTTATATATCTTCCCTCGGAAATTGAGCAGAAGTTGTGCGGAAAATGACGCATACAAGAGGGAAAAACAATCGGGAAACTAGCGAGTCTTGTAAAAGAAAAGAAAAAACATTGAAACACATTGCGTGAGCCAAGATAAAGTGAGGGCGTGGGATGTGTAAACTAACGCTATAAACATGAGCTTTTAATGAAAAATATAAACATATATTCATGCTTGTTATATATATAGTATTTAATCGGGCTGGGCTTTTCGATGGACCTTATCGTTTTGGGAAGTCTGAATATATGACGTCTTGGTATGAATTTGTTTACATTTGCATATAATTTTAATTCAGCAGAAACGCGCTCGATCTGCTGCTCTGCTGAATCAGTTTGTGAATTTGTTTATACAAATTGTTGAAGTGTTAAACAACACAATTCAATGCGTGACTCAGATTTGCTTTCGATTCTTGAATGCCTGGCATGTTTTAATTAAAGCGGGTTCAGGTTTTGAGCTTTCAATTTGCAAGTTTAGCACATCAGTTTAACTTCAAGTCGTAGCAAATGCCAAAAGGCGCTGCTTTTAGCCGGTTTTTTTGTTGTTGTTTAATTTTTTTTATTATAATTTTCAAAGAAGAAGATGGAGTAAAAGGTCGGGCATTTGTACTAAAAAATTGTTGTAAGCTTGTAAAAGACAATTTAATAGAGTACGTGCGTGTGGAAATCTGATAGGGAATTCTAATAAAAAATGTAGAATAAATGAAGGCATGTGGCTGGGAATTTTTTTGTGTTTAAAATAAGTCTGGTCTGGTATTTCACTTGATAAAGTCACGTCTTTTTGTATTTATGTTCTACAATTGTTTAAAGGTTTTTTTAGGGAATTATTTTTGTTTAGAAAGAAGTTTTATTTACTTCACAAGTCACGTCTTAATTTTGTTTATTGTTAAAAAAATATTTTAGAGTGGATTTTAGTTTGAGAAAGAAAATATTTCAATATATTTATAGATTTTAATCTTTCTATAAATCTTTTTACTTGAATTAAGCAAGTTTATAGACATAATTTAACCTATTCTATTTGGTAATCCTCTCCAAAATTCAAACCCAAACTTTGGTCTTTCCTCTACTTATAAACAAGTTGTATAATCCCAGTTAAAACTGTTTCCTGGCCATAGCCAATCTTATTTTCCATATACGAAATCGCATTAGCTAATCACAGACCAAAAAGTCAGTCTGTCTGCCATTTGTGGCTTATTTCCCAGACTGCCTGGAGTTGTGTTGTGTCTTTTTATGTCTTTCGGTCTTTGCTGCAATTTACAATTGCAGAACACGTTCGCAGTTGCCATAATGCAGGCAGGCCGGGTTGCTTTTTGACAATTTGCCAAAGGCCCCCAAGCACTGACCCAGATGAAGAGGAACTGCTTTTAGGGAGGCAAGACAATGTACTAAAAATCCCAGCTGAAAGCCATTAAGAAGCCGCAAAAGCAATTGCCAATTTAAAAGGTAAATAAAATTGGAAAGCAATTACAGGCTTTACTTTATTCTAGCGGAATTGCCAGGTGATTCAGCCTCACCTCGGCTGAGTAAAGAGTTGAATCAGAGTCTGGAGACTGCACACAGGTGCTTGCCAAATTCCGTTTAATCAGAGATAACTCGGATGAGCCCGAGAGATAAGTTATCATGGCAGTGGCCCTACGTGCCATGTGCCTGAATTTAAATAACAATTCTAGAGAGATTTAATCTAACAACACATTGCGCAATAGCTGGCTGCGGTTGATCGGGCGACACTTGAGACACCCCCTATCACTAAAACGATCCACCGCAAGACTAGGAAACGAAGGGAGGAGACCCCCAGAACCTCATCGGTGGCAAGGTGTCGTCGGCGGTTGACGTCGTTGGATGGTAATGCGAAACCGGGCAGAAGTACGGTTGGAATACAGGTGATCTTCGATAACCCCAACTGCTATCTTGATAAGCTAAAATAAATATTATTTTAAATTTAAGGGAACCTTGAAAATACTTTACTTTTTTAGGGGTTCTACAAGGGCTTTTCTACTTGTTTTTGTTTAAATAAAGAACTCTTTGATTAAGAACTTAAACTGAGCGATGTCTTTGGAAAAAATAGCAAGCATATATAAATTATTATTATAAAATGAATTACATTTACTGCTAATTATTAGAAATTAATCTCATAATTGCAAATGGGAAATTCCCTTTCAGAGAAGCTCAACTGTAGCCCCACTAATAAAATCCAACTGAAAGTGTTGGGGCAGAAAACAGCTCTTGAGTCATGATCCGCGCGACGGGAGCACGACTTGGGGGTATCAGCAAGCGACTGTGACACTCTGTGAGTCATGCCCCATTGCACCTGGGGATAATGGGGAGGCGAATAAGGGGGGGCAGCCGGGCAGTAACCGAGGAGGAGCCCGCAGTAAATGCAATTTAAATGGCCATTAGGCGCATGAGTTTTATGTTTTGCCATGGTAGCTAATGAGACGCAAAAGCGGTGCAAAGGTGCCTGGGAAAGTGACTGCAAGTGTGCGGCAGGTGAAAGGAGCCGCCAAGAAAAAGGCGGTGAGCGACTTGGAAAATTGGAAAATTCAATTATAAAGCGAAATGAATAATTAAATCAGTTCTTGGCAAGCTTTAAACTTTAAGAAGTTGATGCAAGAAATAATAATTCAAATAAAATAAAATCTTAGATAATTCCTAGACTTTTTTGTTGGTCTTCAAGGTGTTAAAATTAAACCCCAAAATAAACAACCAGTATCTTTACAGCCCCCATAATCTCTGGCCTTGACTTACGTATTGAAGGTCTTCTGGTAGTCCTTGATCTGCTTCCTGGAGAACTCATGGAACTCGGTGTACACATTGACCACCTTGAAGGTGCGCGGTATCTCAATGCCCGCCTCCTGCGAGTCCATAATCTCCTGCCGCCGATTGAGGATGTGCGTCAGCTCGGAGCTATCCGTGTTGGTCGTGGTGCTGGGGCTGTCCACACTGTCGTTCCGCGATGCGGACGAGGCGTTCGATGAGACGGACATCTTGGCTTAAGCTTCTGTTTAAATATTTATCCTTGCTCTGTGCTGGAATTTTTCGCCTTGCCGTTTTTTTTTGTTTGGCAACTCCCACGCGCAAAAACAAGGACAGCAGCCGAAAAGCGACGTCGGGATACACACACAAAGACAGCGGGGATGCGCCAGAAAAACACACACACACACACGCAACTTGAGCTTAAAATCGAGGCGTGGCTTGAGTCCTGGTAGGCTTTCAGCTAAGAGTTATCAATGACGCTTAAAAAGCCGGGTCTGGTTTGGTCTGTCACTGCAGGTTGTCTAGTCTTATTGGGGGAACTTTGTTTTTGCTTTTTACGCGCCGACTTCTTCCGACGAACGTTGAACAACGAATAGTGGGACCGTCAGCCGCGCAGTCGAGATATACGGGGCTTTGTAGAGAGACCGTAGCTGACGAAAAATACCAAAGCGCCAAGTGTGCCGATAGTAACGATAGTAAGGGGCTGTACATTTTGAAACTATCGCATGGGAAAATAAATATGTAGAAGGATTGTTATTTATATATAATTCTCCATAAAGGAAGAACAGAAATCTAAAAAAGATATTTAAACAAAAATAATTCATTAAAAATATCGCTAAAATCCAAGTAAGACTATCGGCATAATGATACATCGATATGTTGATCAGCCAGAGTCCCATCTCTAAGTGTGCCCGCATTGGCAAATTAGCAAATTTTGTAGAAAACCTGTGTGCCGCCTGTGATTGTAAATTGTAATTGTTTAATAAAAAATAATGGCTAAGCTTTTCAACAAACTCTTGCTGATTGCGGGCTTTGCCAGCCTGGCCCATGCCGCCTTCTCGGCTGCCCACCGTGAGTTTAAAGCGTTCAATTTAAGATAAATAAACTTTGGACTGCACACGACTAACTAATTTTTATTAATTAATTCCCACAGATCGCACCTACTTGCGGCTGACGGAGCAGGAATGGACTAGCCTGCCCTTGGATGTGAGCACACCAATAACTCTTATTGTTAATCTTCAGTAAATGACCCCTAAAATCCCTTTTAGATCATCCTGCAAACCGTCATCAGCCTGGTGATTGTGATATACAACATCATCGAGGTGGTGGGCAACTTCAAGGAGATCCGCGCCACCGTGGACATGCAGCAAAAGACATGGGACACACTGGGCAACTTTCCCTCGTTCTACTCCTTCAATCACCGCGGTCGTGCCTTGAACCCGGGCTACACGCCACCGGAATAGAAGGAGGAGGAGGCATCATCGAATCCGCTTTGGAATCCCTTTAAGGTTGCTGCTATATAATTTTATTTTTAGTCACTCGCCAGATACAAGATAATAATAATGCTAAAGATCAACCAAATGAAAGGCAAAGCTGTAATTCTTAGGATGTGTGATGACTGCGAGGAGCTTCTGGCCATAAGCAGGGCCATGGCCTTGGTTTCCAACTCATAAGCCGCTCTTAGCTCCTTTCCCGGACTGTTATTGCAGGCTTGACTGTGGCAGATGCGACAGCTATCGTGGTGGCTGCTCCTCAACAGACACTCGTAGTACAGATCCGGATTGGAGCGACATCCGCGGACAATCTGCTGGCTGTGCGTGTCAAAGTACTCCAAGCAGGCCATGGCTTGATCCTCTGGCTCGTTGGCGTGCACAGCGCAAGGCAGGGCCGTTTGTCCCCTATCGATCTCCTCGCAATCATGGTTTCCAGTTCCATTGCACTGATGACACCACAGACGCTCCTCCGGAAAGGCACCTTTGTTGCAGAAACTGCCCTCACAGGAGCGACAGTTGGCCACTTGGGAGGAGGAGCAGGTCAAATCCTTGCGCTGGCAGCCTCTCTCGGTGGTGCCATTGCTGTAGGAGAGTGCCAGGCAAGGGGCAGCTATGTCGCCACACTCCTCGATGTAGATGCTACCCGGTCGCTCCCAATTGGCGCAACCAGCTCCCGCCTCGTCCGTGCTGCAGCGATAGCAGCGCGTGAAGGTCTTGTTGTTGCATCCGCCTTGCTCGTCGCACTCGTAACAGCGGGCTATGCCGGGATTATTGGGCGCTGCTCCACATCCTCTTTGCAGGCTCCAGTCGGAGTACTCACAGACGAAGCAGTCGGAGGCCTCGGCGGAGCCACAAGTACTGCTGCTTATGGCACTCACATTCGTCCGGCATAGCTCTTGATTTAGGGTATCGCAGGTCAGGCACTTTTGCTGCGGAATGCAACCGGCATTGCAGTTGCTCTCGCTGCTCCGGCACTTTTCCAGCTCATCCAAATGAGGCTCCAGATCTGCTGGTATCTGCGTGGAGCAGCCCCTGACCACTCGGCTTAGCTTCCGGTAGCTGAAACAGTACTTGTCCTCGGGTTCACCCAGGAGCACCTCCTGCTGGCACTCCTCGTACAAGCTCACATTGCACTTGCCGCTGTTCACCTGAAAGAGATCCATCTTGCAGCCCCTACCGGTAGCAGAGTCGCAGCTGGCGCAGATTTGCATTCTTGCTCCCGGCTCCTCGTTGCAGCCATTAATATCGCAGAGAACGGCGACACTGGAGAGCGTGTGATTCTGCTCGGAGACACAGCCCCTGTAGGCTTCCGAGGAGCTTATGACATCCGTATAGCATTGATCCTCTTCCAAGTGATAGCGACAGGGTTTGGGCTTCGCTCCCCGAGCAGCCACACAATCCTCACCAGCGCAGTGATGGCACTTGAGGCGACCGGGCGGATAGACTCCGGCATTACAGAGATTGGAGGAGCAGCTTTTGGAGTAGGTGGCACCGGTAGTGGGGGTAACCGCTCCACAGCCGCGATAGGTAATGGAGTCCACTGGGAGGAGGAGGTATTAATAGTTTCTTAAAAGTTTCAAGTTTTTGTAAAATGCAAAAACCGTTTTATTCACCACTTTGTCTAGGCAAAAAAATCTAAAAATAAAGTTAATTGGCTCACCTATGGACATGGCACACGTCAGCTCAGTGGGACACTCCACGTAGGGCAGAACGCCCACCTCCCCCAGGGTCTGGGAACATTCCGGCAAAGCAATTGAATCGCAATGATAGCAGACAATGGCCCAACTACAGCCTATTATTGGAAATTCATTTAAAAATAAGCCACGCATTATTTTTCTGGGAGGATTGGCAAGTTTGGCTCACCTGTTAACAGGAGGATCAGGAGCAGGGGGAGGAGCACTTGGTGATTCAGTTGCAGCATTTTGACAGCTTAGACTGAAGGTAAACTAATATATTGCACCTTTGTTGGCTGATTGAAAGTCATAATCTTTTTATGACTTATCAGGTGGTATAACAAAGAGTTGATATAGTGGTCAAGGGTGATAAGGATAAGCTTGAACATGAATTTTAGAAAGAAGAAAGGGAATATTGCAACTAAGATATCGTTTCTGTGAATATATAAATAATTATTATATATTTTCTACCAGTTCTCTATAGGATATAGGGTCTTATTGTCTATGTAAAAGTCCCTAAGCTCTTAAGATTTCCTAAATTTTAGAGACTATATGATCTAGATCTATAAATTCTATTTTAATAAGATTCTCATATCCATAAAGTAAAAGTTTAGATTGCTCGTTTGGATGTCAGTTTGCCCTCCGGCCCATATAAAATCCAAGATCTCCAAAACTATTAAATTCAAAGCTATCAAATTTGGGATCAACATTCTTATAGGTTTTCCGGATATCAAAATAATTTCAAAATTTAATAAAATCTCATGAATAAATTCCTTTCTACACAGTAGCACTTCCTTCCCCAGTGTACAAACCTTTCCCCACAACAGCTGTTGTTCCGATTCAATCCCCCAGCATGTGTGCATATAATGCCTTCCCCAATAATGCCATAACCATAATGTAGCCGGTCATATGTGCCATGACCCCATTATCGCAGGGTCCCATCGGATCCATCAAAAAGTTCGCATCATCAATAATTCACCAGCTCGCATTTGTTGCAGGATTTTTAGGGAGTCAAGGGTTCCCGCCCCCCCTGGGATATCGATTTAATTTAGAGTCCAGGGGATAATTGCGTGACAATCAGCGGATTCGAGAAGGTATGACCACTCAGTTGGTAGCAAAACATCTGCGGAACAACAAGCTCATCGGAGCAAATAATATTGGATATTTGCTAAGCTCTTCAGAGATAACGAGAAAGATACTACTCTGATACAGATTTGTGATAAGCTCTGATAAACACTAGGGGAAGTTTTATTGCCCTCCGTTTTAAATTAAAAGGTTAACGGAGCCTCAACAGATCGGTTGACCACCATGCGGGTGCGACTACTTGTTATTTGGATTACCTTAACGGCTCTACTTCAATGGAGCAGGGCTCAGGAGGATAATATACAGGAGGTTAGCTTGAGTGGAGGCGTTGAGAGTACAGATCCTGATGAACAGAAGTCGCCGGGAATTAAGGATAACATGAATATATCTCCTACAACAGATATGCCTGAAGTAAAACCCCTCATAGATTCAGCTACTGAGCCTCAAGTAGAGCAACAGGATCATCATCAATCTGGGGAGGATAAGATGGAGCCTGCTGACCTTGGCTTGGGCACTCAGGATATGCCCTCTGATGGCAGTCAGATTTCTGTGATGTCAGCAGAGGAAACAACGACAGGCAGTATACCACCAATAGAAGTCCAAGACCAGGAAAAACCCACCAACCAAGGTCCTTCCTCCGCTGAAGCAGACATACTCAAAAAACCGCCAACTTCTCCCGTAAAAAGCACAGCTACAGAGTCCCCCGATTACCAGGAAGATGCTCCCTACGAGAACAATAGTCTCCAGGTGGAAACCACGCCCCCAGCTCCAACGCCTGCACCCACTACTGCTCCAACTGCTGCTACAACTGCTACACCTACTCCTCCTCCTCCTGCAGTCCTTCGCCCGCAGAGCTGCTACTCCTGCCTTGACTGCAATGCCACGGTAACGGATGACCAGAAAACCACCTGCAAGACAGTTCCTGGAGATCGCAATGGATGCTATACGATGCTCGTTAAGGACAAGAATCTTGTGCCGGACAAAAAGAATTACGTGGAGCGTGGATGTTCATCTGAACTTAGCCCACCCTTCCTTCTCTACTGCAAGGCCAACAAGGATCTGTGCAAAAAGTGCGATGGCAACTACTGCAATGTCTATGACATGACCTCCCTACAGGAGACGACCGCAGGTGGCACCTCACCTCGTCTGCTGGACTCCCTCCTTATCGGAGGCATCTGCTTGGTCAACTGTTGGCGGCGACAGGTGTTTTACTAGCCACTCTGAGTCACCACAATTAAAAACTGGAAAGCAGAAGGCTTAAAAATCGATAAAAAAATGCATGACTAATGTGGGTTAGGAAAGCCCTGTGTCGTCCCAGATAATGTTGGGTTTATTAATTCATTAAAAACTTTGAATAATATGAAATTTGGAATATGTATTAACATGTATTTGTAAATATTTTATAATAAAATAATTAATGAGCAGTGCTAATCAAGGTGGTATGTTTTAGTCTAATTAATTACATTTTTCAAGATTTAAATATGAGTTTCTCTAGGAAATAAAATATTTTTATAATAAGTAGTCCTATGAAGAGCTGTTTGCTAAAGTTTCATAATATTTAGATCATAAACAAAGGAGTTATTAAACAATAAAGTTGATGATAAAGGTGTGCTATCCTTTGCAACATCCATAGGTTGCCAGTATTAATGGTGTTGCTAGGAATGTAGCTATCAACATGTTTCTAGCTACATTTACCTGGTAACATTTTCTGTGCCTCTACTCTAAGCTAGAATTACTGCATAAATTAATGGGAATTGTTTTTTTTTTTCAATAGTTTCTTTAGCAGTTTCTCTTCTATAAAGATTTCTTTATTCATTTTAAAATTATCTTATATAATATAAGATAATGTACCTGGTCCAAAGGCAAAACAAAGTAAAGTAATGTTGTTTATTAATTACTTAGATCCATATATTTGATTATAAAAGCACTTTATTTTTAAATAGATCTGTTTACATTTTTAATAATTCATGGGTTAATGCTTCGGGGATGTTGGGACCTGTGTACATTTAATCACGGTTAGCCTTCCCCCGAGATTTTGAGTAAATACTTCAAATAAAAGGATTTGTAATCAGCACAACTCTCAGTTATTGGCTAAATAGCTGCCGAACTATACGGAAATAAGCAGGGAGATTGGTAAGAATAAATAAGAATTATATATATTTAATATACATTTAATTTTCAAATACATTTCAGACAGTCTTAAATAATAATGAGACTTCTCCTTATCTGCATAACATTATTAACTCTGCTGAAGTGGATTGAAGCAGAGAAAAACGTTGGTTTAGTTTTTCCAGCACCCGAAAATCAAAGAATATTTTCTGAAAATAATAATAAAACTAATAAAACAGCAGCCCAACAGTTTGCACCCATCAGATGCCTGGGTTGTGACGGCTATTGCAATAGTTATGAGGATGGCAAAGACGGAAATGGAAAGGGAAACCGGATGTGTGAACTAGAGGTGGGCATTCTTCATCGTTGTGTTTCAATATTTATGCATGGCTTGAAAAGGAAGTGTAAAGTGGAAATGACAATGGAAGAAAATGTGTATTGTAAGGAGAATGCGAATCTTTGCATTGAGTGCTCTGATCCTGATTGTAATTATGTGAATTTGACTGCAAATGGGCTTCAGGCAAGCGGATCTAATGGTGTCAGGACCTCTCTTATACTGCTCCTTGGTAGTTGCTTTATTGCTGGGCTGGTAAGGAGTGAGTTATGAAGGATCTGCTTGGATTGGTAGTGAGTGAAGAATGGAAGTCTTGAACTTGGCAGCGAAGATAAATAGGAAATACTAGATAATTCTGGTAAAAAACTATATAATAATAAATCAATAAATATATTAAATGCTTATCTGATTTCTATGTAAAGTTCAAAGTTTTTTAGATCCTTTTTTGTAAAAGATATTACCTTTATCTCATCTCTTTTTGGGTATTCTTTGATGTTAGGTGTACTTTCTTAAGAAATGTAAAATATTTTAATAAATAAAAATATTAAGAAAACAATAACTAAATAATACATTTGCAGAAATCCTTATACGTCCAGATTTCAAGCTCCTGAAAGCCTTCAGATGGCATTCTGTGGGCCTTGTGATTAAAAATTAGGTCAACCCCATCAATTATTAATTGTCTTGTTAATGCTTTGGGGATTTTGGGATCTACTTAAATTAAATAATGGTTAACATTCCCTTGAGATCTTTAGTAAATATTGTATTTCAATCAACAAATTGAGGAAAATAAGCTCTTAAAGGATATTTAATCAAGGCAGCTCTCAGTTGTTAAAGAAATACCTACTGAACTAGACGGTAAGAAGCACTACAAGAACGGTGAAAATATATTTAAGAAACATATTCCCAGGCTAAACCTAACTTCATTTCAGCTAAAGCTGGTTAAAAATGAGGCTTCTTCTATTATGGATAACATTAACTGCTCTTTTGCAGCATATTGCAGCTCAGAACTGGGGAAATAATTTTCAAATTACTAACGAATCAGAATACGAACCCTTCCACAGATGCCTTGGCTGTGATCCATGCAAGGATTATGAGGATGGCAAAGATGAAAATGGCAAAGGAACTAGAGTGTGCTCCACAGACGAGGATCAACTTGATGGTTGTGTATCCATGTTTATGTCCGTCTTGATAAGGAAGTGTGTCTCCGATATGAATATGGAAGATATATCCCATTGTAAGAAGAATGAAGATCTATGCGTCAGTTGCTATTCCCCCAATTGCAATATTCACAATTTCACAGCCTATGTGGATTTGACAGGGGGATCTTCGGCTTTCAGGACCTCATTTTTGCTTTTTAGCATTTGCTTGATCGTTTGGCTGGTGATTAGTGAGTAATATTTAAAAAAATGACTCAGAAGGGAAGCCATTTGGACTTTAGCATTCGTATTAAAAGTAAATATTGATTTTTGCAACGAAGATAAATTGGAAAAACTAGATAATTCTAGTTGACAACAAAGGGTAAAAAAATGTATTTAACGCTTATCGGGATTCTACAAAGAATTTGTAAAACTTTCTTAAACAAATGTTTAATATATAGAATACTTAAATCACAATCAAATCACTTAATAAATGTTAAATATTAAACAAATTTATTTAATGTATATTTAAACACTTAAAGTTAGCATTTGTTACCTAGAAATGTTTATCTATTTATTTATGACTCATTTTGTTTTGGCAAAAATTTAAATAAATTGTTAAAGAGTTAATCAAAGAAATTAAAACAAAAATATAGTTTAATTCTTTTTTTTTTTTTTTGGGTAATTTTATTTTTAAAAGTACAAACTTCTACGACTCTGGTTCTAGCCTATATGCATCTTTTTATAACAAAGGCATTGCGCATTATTGTTAAATTCAAATGTTGATAAGTGCTCTTTATTATCTGATAATGTATTGGTTTAACAATTTTTGATAAGCTACAGGTGGGTAAATAAAAATGTACCTTGAAGTAAGAATAGTGCATTACGATGCATTGACAAAAATGTCAAAGTCTAAATTATAGAAGAAATCGTCAACTTTATTAAAAGAATTTACTGAAAAATATTTTCGTAATTTAAAAATATTTATTAAAATAATAATAATATTTATAACACATATTTAGCAATGCTATCGATTTGTTTATCACTGAAATAACGATATATGTAGTATCAATATATCGATCGTTTCTAGGAGAATTTAAAAACTGCTTTTTAAGTGAGTTGGGAATTACAAAGATCAGCTTCATTATAAATTATAAATTAAATTTCAAAAATGTAGTTAATTATGTTATTTATATTTTATTTGGTTTCACAATGGTTTGCCTAATTAGCTTCGATATTAATATAATTTTGTCATAGATCTGATGATGGTTTTACCAAAAAAAAAAAACCCGACTAGGCACTTCGCAGGACAACCAACAGACCCAGAAACAGACCGACCACGCCCATCTGACTGAGGGAGCCGGATCCATTAAAGCTATCCTTGTTGCAAAGTGAAGTAGTGCAGGTTTGGCACCGGTAGGGCTCCACCTTATTGATGCACTGATACTGCATCAGTTCGCTGCCAGCGGTTATGCAGTTGCGGACCCCAAGACCATCTGAAATTTGAAATAAATCAAATCATTTCATATACATATTAATATATGTATATTTGCCGAACTCACTCCAAACTCCGCTGAAGCAGGTGCCATTGGCACAGTCCACTGATGGCAGTTCTGTTCCTTCGCCGGTCCAGCAGCCGCTGACCTCGTTTGACAAGCACGCGATGCACTTGAAGGGCCCGGCGGCGGTATTGCAGTTGTTAGCGGTGCAGGACTGGCACGTAGTGGCATCCGTGCATCCACCCTCCAGATTGTTCAGGCATCCTCGGGCGCCCGCCGTGGTCGTGTAGCAACCCGTAAAGGTCTGGTTGTAGAGGATCGTGCATGCTTGTCCCGCGCTGGCCTCCTGAGCTTCAACACAGTTGGGGCACGTAATGCAAGATCCCTCTTCCCGCTGGTACGCCACTTTGTTGCACTGAGCCGTCGAGCAGATGGAGCAGCTGGGGTCTGTAGCGTCCGCCGGACACTTGTACGTCTGCGTAGTGTCTGCCGTGCAACTGCGGGTCATGTTGGTGGCACTCCACCCGGTGGTGTAGCATTTCGAGGTATCGGTGGAACAGACCGCGAGCATGGCATCAGTCACCGTGTTGCATGATTCGCCGGTGCATTTGTAACACACGGTGTTGGTGTTGCATTTGTCCGTATTGCAAATCTGGCAACTGGTGGAGTCGGTACAGGTAGTTTGGCCATCGGGTAGACAGCCACGGCTAACCGTTCCATTGGCAGCTAAGAATTAGGAAATTATTAGAATGTAATATATAATATTATTATAATGTAAAGTATGTTAAATTTCAAATATTATCCCTTTAAATTAATAATAAGAAAATTTCTTAAAGCCCTGTTTCTTTCGTGCTTTCTTTTCTACAGGAGCCTGCAATGTACAAGCAAAACAGGAAGAATACCTTTTCAAAACTTGTTCTTAACATTTACATAATCTATCTATCTAATATAAAACTAAGAAAAAAATACCTTAAATGAATCATTCCCATAAAAGGGCCCAGACTAATATAATAATTATCAAAAGGTATGAAGAGGGATCATCGATATCAATCAACGAGATAATCGCTATCGCCGGCCATATGTCTGATAAGAGAGTTATGGCCAGCCTTATTTCCCTTTGTTTTCATTGTGTATACTATATAAAAAAACCTCTATGTGAACTTCTAAGAATATGAAATAGTCTCGGATGAGTCATGGGAGGAACTCACCTGTGGCGGTAAAGCAATTGTTACTGGAGCAATCCACACCGGTTACGCTACTTGGGTTTGTGAGACAATTGGCATCCGTCGAACTACAGCTAAGACATTCTGAAGATAATTAGAAAGGAAAATTAGAGTATAAAATAAAATTATAAAGAAAATATTAAAACAAAAAGAGAACAAACTTACGTAGCCCCAAACTGCTGTCCAGCTGGGTGACAACGAGTGTCGTTATCACAGCGATTATTAGGTTGAGGCCCCTCATGGTTCTCGTTCTTTTGTGGTATATAGTTTTCTTCACGAACCGCTCAGATCGACCGACTTTAGTTAACTGAACGCATTTGGACATACTGCCCTCTTTTCACCTAATCAATTTCACCTGAGCACACACCCGGGTAGGTGGGTTCTCCGGATGCAATATGCTTATCTTTTTGTGGTTTTATGGGTTCCACGAGAACATTGGCTCTCTCTTTTTGCTGATAAACTTCAATAAGATAATATATGTATCTGTGTTCTTATATATATGTATATATTTTTAAATTAAGTAATCAAGGTAAGGCTATAGTTTAAAGTTTTTAACCCTCTATTTTCTTATGTTTTCAATGGTATTTTTATCTTTCGCTTAAGTAATTATTTTACTATTTTAAAAAGCACTTTCCCCTCAATGAAGTAACATTTTTAACCCATTAATAATTAGCTCATTGCAAGCTTTCAACGTTTTTCTACCAACAATAAGCTTTCAGTGGGAACAGTTTCAGGGTTTAATTTTGGCGGTTTGTGTCTTTAGTGAGGTTTTTTTGCTTTCAAGGGGACTCTAAAAAGCCTTTTTAGGATTTGTAAAATATTAAATTTAATTTTAAAAAATGCATAAAATCTTAATACAGAGAATACCGATTAAATATTGATTTATGAATTGACTTTCTCGTCAAATATAGTTTCTCTTTATTGATTTTTTGCCATACTTAATCGAAAAATATAGCATTATATAGTTTAAATGTTTTATATATATTATATTTATTATATTAAAGGGTCTTAGTAAAAGTCAATTCAAACCAACAAAATCAATAAATAAATAGTTAGTCATTATTTTTGTATTGTCATGTGTTAATCTTTTTTTTACTATTTTAAATCACATTGCAAGTGCATGTGCTTGATAATAAAATTGATAAAAAATAAACCAATCAAAAAATTCCAAGAAACTGAAGGCACATGCTTTCTAGTTCCCAGGGAGTTCCCCTAAAAGTGGTTTTGGAAAGGAAATTTCCCTACTTTCTCAAACCAAACACTTTATTCTTTGTAATAAATAATTCTAAATGCTTTGTTTTTGAAACTTCTTTTTTATTAATTAAATACAAAGTACAAATCACCTAATAAACATACATATATTACAAAAGGCACTCCCAAAAAGCTACATTTGCTCCGCCTCACAGTAGGTTTTTCAGTCCCAGAACCACAATCAGGATCATTGCGCCCAGGGACACCTGGAGGCTGGTGCTGCCGTTGCAGCCGTCCGACAAGCAGACGTTGCACTCATCGGCCACGTCCGGGATCAGCTCAAGTTCCTCCCTCACAGCCTGGCAGGCGCTTTGGCCTTCGGGCACACGGATGCAACCGCGGTGGATTTCTGGGAAATAAAGGAAAAATATCGGATTAAATTTGTAAAGTTTACAATTTAAATTTAAGATTAAGCTTAAAAGTATGCTAACAAAAAAGTTTTTATTTCTTTCTTTCTTAAATTCTTGAGATATCATTTCCGGTGTACACTCACCTCCCTGCGTGATGATGCTATAGCAGGCAGCCACCTTTATGACGGCATCCGTATCCCTTTGATTCCGGGCAATGATTCGGTAGTTCCGCAGGAGCACATCCGTGGCCTGGGCGGCCAGACTACGGCGGCGACGACTTACGGCAGGAGCAGCTTCAGTGGGAGAGCCTGTAGAAGTGGAAGTGGAAGAAGCGGAGGAAGCATCTGTAGAGTCGCTTGGAGAGGAAGAGTCGCTCGTTGAGGTGTCTGTGGTTTCGCTGGGTGAAACGCTTGAAGAATCTGTAGATTCGGTGGATTCACTGGGCGGTGAAGTGGGAGACGCGGAGGAAGAGTCGGTAGCCTCGCTTGGAGAGGACGAATCACTCGTCGAAGAATCTGTGGATTCGCTGGGAGAAACAGTTGAAGAATCTGTAGACTCATTTGTTGAAGAATCTGTAGATTCGTTCGTTGAAGACTCGGTGGATTCACTTGTCGAAGACTCCGAAGATTCGTTTGTTGAGGAATCAGTGGGTTCACTGGGAGAAACAGTGGAAGAATCTGTAGACTCGTTTGTTGAGGAATCTGTAGATTCGTTGGTTGAAGACTCTGAGGATTCGTTCGTTGAAGAATCAGTGGGTTCACTGGGAGAAACAGTGGAAGAATCTGTAGACTCGTTAGTTGAGGAATCTGTAGATTCGTTCGTTGAAGAATCTGTGGTTTCGTTCGTTGAAGAATCTGTAGATTCGTTCGTTGAGGAATCAGTGGTCTCGCTGGGAGTGGAGGTAGGTTCGGTGGTTGTAGAATCAGTCTCCGCAGCGGTTGTAGAATCGGTCTCCTCAGTGGTTGTGGAATCGGTAGTAGAATCTGTTCCCGGCTCCGTGCTTATTGTTGGCACCGATGGAGTTGTAACTGTAGTAGTAGTGCTGGTAGTGCTGGAGGAGTCCGAAGAGGGTTCTTCGGTTGTTGTATCCGGTTCTTCGGTTATGATATCCGTTGTTTCCGGTTCCTAAAAAATACAAATGACATTACTTGTGTTCTTGTGATCCTGATATCTGCCAGAGATTCCACCTTTGTAGTTGTGCTCGGTTCATCATCTATATTACAAGAGATCAGGGGCACCAGGTCCAGATCATCGCAGGCACTTCCCGTGCATTCGTAGCACTCCAGGGCACCGGCTGAAGAAGACAGGTAAGTGGGCAGGGCAGGTGAGTAAGCGGAAGGAGGAGGGAGGGAGAAAACGCGGGGCAGTGCGAAGGCCGAACGAGATAAAAAGAATTCGTGGAGTCTTGAGAGCAGGCAATAACTCTGATTGATAAATCAAATACGAGATAACATCGCCATTGTTGCCTCACCAGCAAAATCAGACAATTTTCTGGCGCCCTTTTTAGGTTAACGTACTTCTGTATTTATATTCCCTCTTTTTATCGGATAACCTTTCAACCCAAAGTCTGTCTTATCTGTTCCATATTGATAAAGATTAAATTTAATTAACTGACTTTATTAAATTTACGAATAAAGATTGATAAGGTGGGAGGTAATTGGGTTATAAACGGCTCTTATTTTATCTTCTATCCATGAGTAAGAGAGATTGGAAGATTATGAGTAAGAACTAGAAATTAAGAAAAAAAGGGGGATTTCCCTGAATAGAAAACCCTTGGAATGAGTTCTGTAAATAGTAGTTACTTATTGAATTAAATAAAAGCTTTCAATTAGCAAGAAAAATATTTTAATTTAAATATTTTAAACTAACTAAATTGTAGAAAAATATTTTCTTTACATTTTTAAATTATTGAATTAAATAAAATCTTTAAATTAATCAAGGAATATATTTTAATTTAAATATTTTAAGCTAACTGAATGTAGAAAAATATTTTCTGAACATTTTTAAATTATTGATTTAAATAATAAATAAATATTTAAAGCTAACTAAATTGTATAAAAGTATTTAAAGAATTCCTGTATTCCTGAATTCGTTTCTAGGTTTTATTTTTAGAAAACTTATTATATTTAAATAAATAATTTTCATACGTTGTAATTTCTATTTTTAATGGACGGTATTTTTGTGATTAATTAGTTTTTCCTTATTTTTTTGTATAAAAATTATCATTTCCATCAAAAGGATTTTACTTTTAAAGCCAAGTCGCCTATAAGTAAATGAGAAAATAATTTCCAAAAATAAGTAACGTTTAAACAATTAATGTAAAGTCATTTTGTTGTTCTTGACTTTAGAATTAAATATAAATTTCTCATAAAATCACAAATTCGCACACGTTAATTCTATGCTCCCCCTTGAGTTCGTCTTGTATGCTATATATATTTTTTATCAATATAGTTTCACTACTCCAGCAACAAAAAACAAAACTAATTACAATAATGGAACCTGGCCATGGCTCCTACATTCTTCACTGGAATTCGCTGGCCTACGCCGCTGATAAGAAGCTCAAAAAATTATTTTCCTTTCACTAAACTAAAAACAGTTTATAAATTATTGAGTAAATTCCCATTCAACACTGACATATCCTATAAATCAATCAAAAAGTTTTTCGGAATGTGACTTGGTCAATCTTTTGCACGGCATTGCACTTCAAGATAATGGTGATAAATAAATCCAACCTGGCCAGAAGGTCAAGGAGGCGCAAAAGGCCAGCAGCAAAAAGTTAAAGGTGAGAAGACGCATTTCTTTTGTTTTATTTTTTTAACCGAAAGGATATTTGCCGAGGTGTTGAAGCCGATGGTAAGACGAGTATCGCACCGCACGACGGCTGAATGGTAACTACCAATTAAATATAATGTTAACTTGGCTTTTTTATCATTCTCAGTCGCTGATAAGCGAACCAGGCGACAGAGCAGGAAGGCAGCGGCGTCAAAGCAGAGCAGCAGCAGCAGCAGCATTCGGGCTTTGTTCTTCTTCCTGGCGATAACGGCGATAGTCCGGGGCCATATAAACCTCTATATTGCCCCAATCGCTATTGGTGATACGGTCCCTTGTTGGGGAAAATTCGGGTAACACCACTTCCTCAGGATGCCCCGAATTCTTTTCATTTATTGCATGGCCATTTTTTTTTATGACGACCCTCTTCTTTTTTCCTGGAACTGCCAGCGCATCGATAAGATATCAATTGGAGGACTATATCCTCTGTTTGGCCAGGGGTTATAGACCACGATTTTACGGTCAATTACTAATGGGCCAAACCCATGAACAGGATAGAATTTTTATTACTTGAAATTGGAGGTGGAGAAAGGTTAGGTTAATCGATTTTTTATTTAAATAAGTTGGAAATTTTGATAATTTAAGAATTCTTTTGGGAAAATTCTTCATTTTAAGGTAAAGCTGAAATTTATAACAATTATAGCTGAACAAATATCAAAATAAATCGATTTAAAATCGATTTTTGCTTATAGAAATATTAAGAATTTCGATTATTTAAGAACTCTATTAAAATCTTAATATTTTTAGTGGGTTTCTTCTGGAATTTGTTAGTCTGAGTTGTTAGAAAAAGGTGGTTAATTAATTTTCGTTTACGAAAATGTCAAATACTTTTATTGTTTCGAAATTTTATTAAATTACTGGTAAGTGTATTTTTTATATATTTGATGCTATTATCTATCTATCTGATTTTTAAACTCGCAAATTTTTATTTTTACAATAATAATAAATTTATAATTTTTACAATATAATTAATTAATCATTTTTAAAATAATTAATAAAATATTAATAATAATTATAAAAGTAATTATATTTACAACAATATTTAATTTACAATAATAATCGAGTATTTAACCTACAATGTATTGTTTAGTATTAGTTAAAATAAATATAAAAATTTTCTTCTGTGTAATACACACCTTAAAACTGAATGCACCTAATATTTTAGTGGAAATTTCCAGAATCATACACAGATTGATTTTTTTTTTTTTTTTTCAAATTTCATATGCATATAAAATCATATTTTATCTAGACCCCTTGGCGGCATCCAGGCGGGCATACATTTTTTTTCGGGACCTACGCCATTGGATCTCGGTTTGCTAAGCAATTAAGGCCCGGCTGTAGAAATCTAATCAGTCCAATCGATTTCTAAGGCCTGGCCGGGCTTTATGGCATAGGGCGTTGCTGAGTAATAAGCAATTAAGCCCATTAAGCCTATATAAATTTGCTATATAATGTCTCGAATGTGCTGAAGAAATAAACTAAATTAAGTTTAAAGGAATACAGTTATCATGATTCATTAGTATAATATATAAAATCTATACTATAGATATATATATAGATATATATAGATAATTCCTTATAAATAGGAGCATGTGTCTTTGCAAAAATGTATCTAAAGTTTTTGCACGTTGCTTCGTGGTTGGTTTTAATCTTTGGTAGAAATTCCGATAAAGAAAATGACAATATCAGTGTTAGTTTATTTTTTTTTTGTGTTGAATAACTAATAGATAATGATTCACACTTTTTAGACAGTGGCCTAATAGGTGATAACTGTAATCATAATTTAAGGAGGGAATTTTTTTTGGAATGAGAACCTTTGGAACACATTTAATTCCACAAACTTGTGACCTGCGCAATACTGGAAGACACAATTTCTTAAGGTTTCTATAGAAAAACCTAAGTAAACTTGATTACAACTTGTAAGTCAAGCTAATCTGTGACAAATTCTACATTATTAATGATATCGATGGCAGCAATAAACAATTTAATGTTACAAATCTTAGCCAGGTCAGTGTTAAGTGAAGTTAAAAAATTTAATCGCTTGAATTCCCAAGATAAGCAACTATTTTTAATAGCCGGAAATTCAAAAAAAAAAGTTTAATACTTAAATTTGACTTATCAATCACTTTATGGCCCAATTTATTTGGTGCCATAAAATTTCCTGCTTATGATTTACGCGTGGCCGCATATTTATTTCCCTTAGTGTTGCCAATAGTCCCAAAAATTTTGTTGGTCTTTAATGAGGGGGGGAAGAATCTTATCTAGTCGATAAGGAATTTGCCGATTCGTGTGTGTTTGATTTTCTTTATTTTCCGTTGTTGTTTTTGCTGTCTTGTTTAAATTTGCTTAGCATAAATGGCCCAAAAGTATGCCTTTACTAGAGGTTTCTATTATTATTATAGCAAACAGAACGGTTAACGGCAAAAAAAAAGGGGGAAGACCATAGTTTGCAGCCCACAAGTCGTATACGTGATAAATGCATAAACCGCATTACGTATACGACACGGTGGTAAGGCTAATTGTTAGTCATTGGCCATGACTGTGTCTTAATTTGTCTATAAACTCTAGGCAGAGTTATCTTATTAGCTGAAGATATAGATGCAGGATGCCTCTAAGTCTTTAAAATCATAAAAATTCCTTTTGTCTCTGTGTGTTTGCATTAAAGATTAGATTAACTCGTGCTTATTCAGTGTGCAATGCAATGTTTCATTAAGTAAAATTGTCTAAACAGTATTAATTTCAAAATTTCTTCGGACTTTGGCAACAAATACACAAATACACTCAGTCTTCATTATCCCACAATGGTTATCCCATCAAGTTTTTTTTACTTGAATTCTTTTCAATAACTTTAATATATTTTTTCCTTATTATTTGTATTTTATTTTAATAATTACAAATTATTTATTAAGTGTTCGCCGTAAGCTTTACATTTGGTTAGATTTAAGTGTACTTTTTAGTATTTATATATTTCGATATTCGCGTGTCTTAGAACTACATAAATATAATATTAAATGATGAGTGTGTCTCTTAAGCACCGGATGATGGATGAAGATGAGGTCCTTAGTTGCGCTGCAGGGCAAAGGCCACAAAGGCCACCAGGAGTGTGGCCAGGATGGAAGTCCTGATGGTATTGCCACCATTGCAGGCATTCATGCTGCAAGGATTACAGTTGGCCAACTCGGTGTTGTTGTTTTGGATCTTCAGGAGATCGCAGACGCCCTCGTAGGTGCTCACCCGGGAGCAGCCGCGATCCGTGCTCATAGAGCCGTTCACTGGGGAGAAGTAAAGGTTAGTTTTAATTATTTTTAAATTATTTCCTGCAACTCACCTGAAACCTGAACTGAGTAGCAGTGATAGGTGAACTCCGTATCCACCACCGCTCGTCGCTGGCGGATGGCCAGCGAGGGGGTGGAGCTCTCCACAGGCACCAGTCGGGTGGCATTCAAGGCCGCGGCAAAGAACAGATCCTCAGCTGGTGGCGTGGGCACTCCTGTGGTAGTCTGCACGGGTCCAGCGGTGGGCGGAGTGGGCGCTGGGGCCTCGGTGCTCTGAGTGCTCTCCGTGCTCTGGCTGCTCTCGGTGGTGGGCTCTGGGGTGGTGGTCTCCACCGGCGTTGTGGTCGTGGTTTCAGTGGTCAGAGGACTCGTTTCGGTACTTATCGTTGTCACCTCGGGTGTCGTGGTTTCCTGTGTGCTCATGGAAGTGGTACTGGCCTCGGTTGACGTCGTGGTGGTCACCGTGGAGGCCTCTGTGCTGCCGCCGGGATTGAAGAACTCCTCATTGCAGGCCAGCAGGGGGGCATCCTTGGGCAGCTGTTCGCAGTCGTCGCAGACATAGCACATGAGATCGGCGCGGATAACTGAAAGGAGGGGGAAAACAAATTAATGTTTTTCAAGGGTTGATGATTATAAAGCTCTAAAAAAATTCAATAAATCCTTGTTAGCTTGCTCCAATTCCAAGCACACCCCTTCCGGTCCTCTCCCTATTTTTTATATATTTTTATTTCTAACATTTCTCTAATAATTTTTATTAATTTATTAACCTTAGAAATTGGGCGTTCAGAAAGTTATCTCTATCAGGCGAGAGTGCTCAATTTACAGCTTGGGCAAACAAAGGCAAGACACGCGATAACATTAAACAACACCGGTCGATAAATGATGACAAAAGCTAAGAACATGTGAGCGCAATAAATCAATTCAAAACCAAAGCCCGTATTTGGCGTATTATTTGCCGATTCTTTAGTATTAGTTTGCACAGCCTTTGATCTAGCGCTGAAGCACTTCCCCGCCATAAATCGATGCCATTTGCATGTTGTTATCGTCATCGGCAAATATTTACCGCTGGTAAACAGAGGCCAAACCTATCGGCGTGGCTACACTGGCATAATTGCGTTAATTGTCTTATCAGTTTAGTTGGCAGCGGATGCCTATGAATACCAATACCTATGTGAGGTGAGTCACGTCGACGGGCGCCAACGATAATCCGACCATGGTCTAAATCCCCACTTGATGCGATAACAATCGAAATCGAACGATAACGTGGAGCGATATTATCTGTATTTCATTTCACTGCCAAGTATTTAAAGTCTTTATTTCTATTTATGTCCCATTTCTTTGAAGTATTTAAGGAGCACGATAATCTGACTGAGTTTTGTGTTGCCTCTTGACAGTTTTCTGATGCGATAAAATCGATATCTTACGGTTCAATGATAACGTGATGCCTGGTTTTCAATATTTTGTATAGCACTGAGTACTTTTCATGGAGTATTTAGGGTCTTAGGTGAAAAGAAATGGGATAAACTGATATGATTCTCTATTTTTGGGCACACCAGGTGATACAATATTCTCTGTTCCTCTTGAGGAACCATTACAGTGCTTCTTTTTCTTTTTAATGAGTAGTATTTAAGGTCTTAAGTGGGCAGAAGTTGGATAATAACTACTATTTTCTTGTCTTACTTTGCAACTGTCAAGTATTTATGGGCTCAGGCAAAGGGGAATTATAGATTAAATGGGATAGAAGGTACGATACGATATTTATTTTGGGAAGACTTTAAGTGATAAAAGTGAATTTAAAAGGGAAGTACTTGTAATTAGGCAGGTATATCTAATAAGAAAATATCGAAAAATATCTAAAAGATAAAATATTGCAATAAATTCAAGTTCTTAAAAGGAAGAGAATTTATATAGATAAATTTGTATTTATTTTTTAATAAGCGTAAAATCTGTATACCAAAAAATAAAGCAGCTTAAAACAGGTTAAAACAAAGACTTATTGTTATACCCATAACCAGTCCATATTAATCTCAATTTATAATGTGTGTTTCCAAATTAAAAATCTTTCAATCAATGGAATTCAATGATATTTACAGCAAACTCTTAGTATATCGTCATTATCCATATAATTTCTCATATATATCATCCTGCCCAAGTTCTGTTGATTTATTATTTTAAAATTTATCATCAATCATTGTGATTGATGGTGAATTTTTTGGGCTAGGGGGCCTGGAATGTCCGTCTTGCTGAGGCTTAATTTCACGTGATAAGCGCCACCCCACGCCACGAATTGGAGGGGAATTTACACAATTCTCGTCTCACTCATTAAGTATTGAACATTAAATCTTTGTTTATTATTCAGAAACAAACAAAGTTGAAGCTGCAGAGTTTATTGTTATTATTTTTCCGCTTGCAGCTTGTGTAAGTCAATAAACTGGCTGTGATGCAAACTAACTTAAAAGGGTAATTGAAAAAAAAGCCGTTTAAAGTTCTGAAACCAAAGTTCGCTCTTAACGATTTCCAGTTTATTTAGCATTTTTGTATATTTTTTTTCCGCCCCTTTTGGAATGAATAAAAAACCATTTTAAATGGTATTCCCAATCCAGTGTGTCTCTCCCGAAAAAAAAATTTAATCATTGGCAATTGCGTCAAGAGATCGTGAACGAAATAATATAAAATATATTCCGGTTTTCTGAACGGTGCTAATAAGCCAGACGAGTTTTTCCCAAAGTGTGCTAAGTGTAACTATAACATTTCCAATTAGCAGATAGTCTCAATGTCAGCTAGCTTATTTTTGTATTATTTTGTTGTTGTTGTTGAATTTTCCTTTTCAAATCAAATCAATTAGAAAGGCTTCTCGTGGGAGCTGTACGCTTCCAGATGACATTTCCGCATCACAGAGTCATTAAAAAATCAGCAACGACAATCTTTGCATTTTTTATGACAGTTAAATAATAACAACAAATAAATTGGGCGTTTTAAATGTTTAAATGCTCAGCGGTTAATATGCAAAATAAAATTATATGGCGATCTTGAATTCTGAATTCATTTCGCCTGCTGCACACTTTTGTTGAATTTTATTTTTTATTTATTTATAGAAGCCTTGGCTGGTGTTGCTATCTGATATCTTGTGATATCTTGTGATATATCTGATATCTCGTGGGTCACTTCAATTTTTTATCACGACACTTTCCCCGATGATTTAATAGTGGGCAATACCCATTACGAAAATTCCTTTACCTGGCAGGCCGATTAGCAACAGCAACACAGAGCTGGCCAAGAAGATCCGTTGATGATGAGTGTTGTTCAGCATTTTGAATTTTGTATTGTTTCGAAATATTTATATATTTTGAAATAGTATATACGATGTATTGTGGCTCTGCTTTAAATAGTAATTTATACTAATTAATTGTTTGCTTTGGCTGCAGCTGCTACCGACCGCTGTTTGCGAATTCTGAAATTTAACTGAAAATCTTGTGATTTGTTTGAGACTTTTTATAGAGTTTTTTTGTTCAGCGGCTTCGATGGGTAAGAGCGAGAGCACCAGCCGGAAAGAGCAACGAGCGGCGAGCAGCGAGAGAGCCGCCGTAAAACAAGTTTTACTTTTCTTTTGGTGATAACAAATTAATTTATAATGCAGAATTAATTGACCAACGGTGTTTGCTCTCTCTCTTAGGTTCTCTTTGACTCTCTTAGCTTTTCTTGCCGGGGAAAATGGTTGCAATCTTCCGGGATTCTTTGGTACTTTGGCATTTCCCCGCCTTTCAAAGTGATTCAGTCGGGCAGTGATTCTGGTATTCAGTTCATTTCACTTTCGTGTACGATTTTTAACACCCTTTCTTTGTTGTTTTTGCTAATTAAACAGCTGAGTTTGTTAGTCAGCAAATGGAGTCGGGGAAATGACCACAAAAACGCGATCGGCATACGATTTTAGTTAAAAGCAGAGCTTACCTGATGTGTGTACTAATCAGGGTATTTATAGAGTTAAAAGGGTTTTTACTATGAAATACTTAAATTTTATTTGTTTTTATAATTTTCTATATTTTAAAAACTTTGTAATAAGGAAGTTTCATCAATAAATTTAACCTATTGATCAAGTTATATGTAGGTCCTAACACATGGATACCACTTTAAGGGTTTCTTATTATAAAATCTTTCCTTTTTTTCTACTTTAAAAAATTTTTAAAAATCTTTTTACTTAAAAATATTTCCAGTTTTTTATATTTTTACCTTAAATGTTCTCTTGACTTTATGATACCAAAGTTTCAGATCAATAGAAGCAATATAGACTAAGTTATAAAAATTTAAAAAAAAGGGTTTTGTTTTTGTAATATTCATATTTTAATATTAAATTACAAATTTATAATCGAGGTGTTTTTCTTCTTTTTAATGTTTTTTATTCTTTTCCCTAAATAATAAAAATTGTTTAAGTAGCAAAATTAAATATTTAAATATTTATTTATAACAAATCTCATAGATTCCTTCCCCATATCACCCCTATATCACAACCTCCTCCAGATTTACATAATATTCGCAACTTTAATAGCTATTCCCCGTGTGTGGTTGTCCCATGATTATTATTATTCAATATCAAGAGCACGATGCGCAAACAAACTCGATTTAGACAGAGCCAAACAATTAACGGAGATTTCGCTGGTGTTGGCTCACCTTTTTGGCACCTGCCTTAATCATACTAATAATGGGTATTGTGCCGAGGTATTGGGGCCTCAGAACTTAAGCCTAGCGAAACTTTCCAGTTGAGTAAGCCGCTTGGCCAGGCAAGGTCGTGTTCTACTCGAAAGCTAATGAAATTCCACGGTGACCTAAAAAGCCGCCCCCAGAAGAGTGGGGACAAGGTCACCGGCTGATAAGCTGAACTTTAAGCAAGGTGCGAGAGTGGCTATCGTTGTATTTGTTTTGGTGGGAAAAAAAGTAAATAGTGGGTAATAAATAAAGTAAATAGTTGTATTTTTTGTATTCTTTATTATATCTGTAATCATATCTATATATTTATTAAACATTTACCTCTGACCCTCAATATTTCTTAAACCAAAATAACGCACGCACTACACAACAATTTCTTTACTTTATTTATATTTAAACTTTAACCATGGGTATAAGTTAACGTTGCTTTATAAGAACTTTGACGTGAATCGTGCATTCCCTGTGCCATAAAGTAATTCATCGATCTCTCAAAAGCCCCCAGTTCGTGCCAAATGTGGACAGAGTCTGGTTAGAGCCGCCTCACTTGGGTGATGATGCATCATCATCGACGTCTGTCTGAGAAGCCCACAGACGACGACAGATAAAAATTGTAACTTCCCCAAAAAAACAAAATATATATAAAATATAATAAATACCTCAAAAAACAAAGCCGGCCACATCACGTAGAGCAGCCACCACATGCCGACAATTCTCTCAATGAAATTCTCTTTGGAGTTCTCTCTTTCGAAAGTCAGCAAAAAAAACAAAACATTTTTAAAACACTTTTTGGGCATTTCAAGTTACGAGTATTTTACCCTCCCGGAAACTGACCAAAAATAAAACGGGGAAGCTTAACAAAACAGCCCCCTGACACGAGCCCACAAATCTGGGGAGTTAAAAAATATATTTAATATATTTTACACGGAAAATAATACCACAAAAATAAGTATGATAAAAATAAATACAAATTTGGCCATAGAAAAATAAAAGAGATTACTGGAGAGAGAAAAGTAGAAAGCCGCCTTGCTAAATTATGGAAAAAATAGCTTTTATATATTTTAGAAAATTTCAAAATAATATTAACCTATATTAGTATCTAAAGGTTTATAATGATCTCAAATAAACTTAATAAATAATTCTAAATTCAACCCTATATCACTTCCCAATTTCTCTTTGTGCATTTATCAGCTGCAAGTTACGCATTCAGTCAGTTGCATTCACTTTTGTACCCCCTGTTTAGAGCAAGTTTCCTTAAATCAGAAGGCTTCCTCATCGCTTTTTTCGTTCATCGCCGCATTAAGAATCGCGTCGTCAATTCCGGGCCCCAAAAAAATGCCACAATAATGCCATAAATCTGGGCAAAGTTTTAGGCAGCAATTGCCACTCGACTATCAGGCGCTTATCGGGCCTAAATGCTTTGGCCATTTGATCAGTGTATCAAGTGTATCAGGCGAGTATCAAAAACGTATCAGTGTATCAGTGTATCAGTTTATCAGTGTATCAGTAGTTAAAGTTTACTAATAGTATCTGTGGAATCCATGACTTCATAGTCATGAAATTTTATTTGAACGGTAGCACCTCGTCACACCTGAACTTATCATCGAGGAAGCCCAGCTAATTAATTGATTTCAATTTCGATTTCGATTTTCGCAGCTGAATGGAAGCAACATTCTCAATGAGCCAGCACTTTCGCTTAATAATAGAAATTATAGAGACTATATAGACTCAACCGAAAGGGTCTCCACTCCTTATCGATCGACATTTGAACAATTATGCGAAAATAGACGGGGTGCGCTCATTGCCGCCTGCCAGACTTTACGATTTCCGAGTGGTAAGCGAGCCACAAATAGCACAAATCAGGGTATCATAAATCGAATCATATGGCAGTCACTCCCAAAAATGAACTCAGACGGCTATGAAGCGTACATTATGGAGTAGTATATTAGGGTCTTTTGGGTAATTGTTTTATATTTAGATCAGAAAGCGAGCCACAATGGCCATTAGTGTCAGCGCCAGACTGGCTTCCAGTCCCAGGATTCCCTTGGACAATCCTCCGATGGGCCTGTTGCAGCCATCGTCCCGGCAGAGGTCACATCCACCCACGGACCAGTTCTCAAAGAGTCCATTACAAACGCTGGTGTCATTGCTCGTGCGGGCGGTGGTGCAGCCACGCTTGGTGATCACCGATTCATTCACTGTGCAGGGGGAAAGAAATTAGTTTAATATTATTTTAATTATAATTTTGACAAATTACAGATATATTTTTAATATTTTTGTATAATTTTTTATACCCCAATTTCATTTAATAAACTTTACCCCCCAGTGCAGGGCCACTGTGCATGTTGTGCTATCAGTTTGCCGGATGACTCACAGGCCAACTTATTGATAACTTATCGATGTGGGTGGTAGCATCACCCCAGACAGACATTTATGATGGGTATGGATAATGGTAATGGATATGGGAGTATGAGAATAGGAATCCAGGAAAATACTTACAGTGAAGCCGCACTACATAGCAAAATGGTGTGGGAGCCCCGAGTTGGGCTTGCCGGGCACTTGATCTTCTCCTTCTTTCATCCTCTTCCTCCTCTTCCTCTTCTTCTTCCTCCTCTTCACTCTCAGCTGCGGATTCTGGAGCTGCTGGTGATGCTGCTGGGGTTGCTGCTCCTCCTGCTGCTGCTGCTGCTCCTCCTCCATTTCCTGCTGGCATTATGCCCACTGTAGTTGACTCATCGCTGTCATAGTCCTCTTCCTCTTCGGAGGGAGGAGCAGCTGGGGCAGCAGGTGAAGGTGAGGGAGCTGTCCCAGGACTGGGACTTGGACTGGGACTCGGACTGGGACTCGGACTGGGACTTGAACCTGGACTTGGACTTGGACTTGGACTAGAACTGACAGGTGTGCCATCACACACCTCCATTTCGGTTAATTGAGAGTTCTCGTCGCAGTCCTCGCAAATGTAGCAACGCAAGGCTACAAGAATTAATTTAAATAAATTAATAAATATTTAAAATAATTAAAAAATCTTTAAAAATATTAAATTTAATTTAAATTTAAATAATTTAAGCAAAAAAACAAGATCTTTTTAAAAGACTTTCTCATTTTCCCATTTAATAATAAAAAACCCTTTACTTTTTATGCAAATTTCCCCAAGTGTGTGCACACCCAATGACCTTGGGCCACTCCAGGTGTGCCCCAGTAATACATGTGAGGGTGTGCCTTATCAGCGCCACCTTATCAGCGGGATTACGCAGGGTGAAGGAGGCACCCTTCTGGCGGGTTCAACGTTGCGTATGAGCAACTTTTGCAAGCTCACCTCGCGCGGGTCAATCAATTAGCATGCGAAAAGCTTATACAGCGCCTTGATTTATGACATACCTGAAACACCTGAGCTGCAAACCATAAAGGCCAACACCGCCAGTAAAAGGAAACGCATTTTCTGGGCAGGTAAGAAAATTGGGGTGGCTGAAAAGCTGAAGAAAACAATTTGCCAAAGACGTCAAAAAACAAAAACTTTGGCTGATTGGGAAATCCCCAGCTAATATTCCTTTTTTAAACAATTTTTCCGAGGTTTTTCTATATCTTTTCCCGTTCTCTGCTTGCCAGCCAGCAGTCGCTACCGAAAATTCAAATCAAACTGACAACCCAGAACCTTCTTGAGGCTGTCCTACGGTTTCCTCTATCAAAATTGAGTTCTTTTGCTTATAAAAAAAATAAAAACAGAAAAGACTACATGTAGCTCCCGGAAAGCAGGCACAGAGAACTACAAGTCAGAGACGATAGCATCGCCCCCAAGACTTTCAAATTAACGGTGGAGCGAAAGAGAGAAGAAGACCCAGCCGAGGAGTCCGGGACATTGATAAGCGGCATCTTACATGAGTAATGGGAAAATTATCTTTGATTGCTGAAAACAAGTCGAAAAAAAAAGAGGAAAAACATAACAGAGGAGAACGTGATGTGTAGAGGTTATGAGTCTTGGGTTTTTCTTTTGGGAATAGAAGGGTTAAATACCCTTCAGACTTTAAGGTTTTTTAATATTCTTTATAGTGAATGATAGTTCGTTCTGGTTGGTTATATATTTAAGCTAGAAATGTAAGACAGAAAGGGAAAGCATTATATTTTAAAAGAAAATCTCAAAGAACTTCTTACAGCATTACCCATACGCAGTGTTGCCATTTCTTGTTTTCTAGATTTCAAGGTAGATTTTATATGATAAATTTAGTCAAAAATATATATTTATTAAATTAATTAATAAATAATTTAATAAAAATATATATTTATTAATATACATATTTATAAATATATATTTTTTATTTTGTTGAACAAAGCATAACAGGATTTTATAAATTTATTTTAATTAGTTTTTTAAGTGGTTTATTTAAATATTTAAAATTATAAATCTTTGTTATTTAGTAAAGGTAGACCATAAAGCTTAATAAAAACAAATAAGTAAACTTTTAAAAAGAATATATAAAATAAAATTCCCCCAAAAATACCATTACAGCTCCAAATGTTCATTGAATATCTTTGCTACCCTAGATATATATGCTTTACAAACTGATAATAAGAAATATAAGACACCAAAGAATCTGTTATACTGTCATACAGCATTTATTTGTGTGCACTTTGAAGTTTTTGGTTTTCGGTTTCCATTCAACATTCGCTTATGAACTAAACAAAACTGATTGATTTGCTCGACGGGGCGTACTATATGTTTACAATATATTGCTATTTAGTGCGATTAGGCGGATGTAAGCTCTGTATATTTTTTTGTAATTTAATTTCTTCCATTGCTTTTCTTTTCTGTTTCTAATTGCACATTTACTTTAACATTTATTGCTGTTTTATGTTTAAATTCGCATTATTTTTTGCTTTAAGTTGATTGTTTTTGCTTGTGGCTTCATCAGTTAATTTTTAAACACAAAAATGAATTTAATGCTCATTTAAAATTACCTAAAAATACACTCATATTTGCTGAAAATAAAAGGCAATTGGTGAATTCTCATACCTCCATCGCTCCTAACAATTAATGGCCACAAATATTGCTCAATAAATTATACAATAAAGCTACGCCTCGATCCTTGATATATATATATATTTTTTTAGGGGATATATATAGTACTCTATCTTGACTTTAGACATGAACCCGAAAAGCATCTCTTTATATTTTTTTTGTATCTCTGCAAGTTTCGTATTTGTTTTGAATCAAAGCGAGTCTGTTTGCTTACATTTCTAGGGTCAAAGGTTTCAGGATTTTCAGGGGGGGTTAAGGGGTTACCAGGATTGGGTTTTTGGGTGGTGGATGAGTGACTCAATGGCACTCAAATATTTACAAAGTAAACTGGGTAACGCTAAGGGTAACTCAACCTAAATGCAACCAACGCGCAAGGACGTCCAACCTGCTCCTCCTCCTCCTTAGCAGCCCCAGTGGAGCACAATCATGGCCAGAATGGAGCCCAACGCTAGCGTTATGGCCGCCGCACCATTGCAGTTATCCGTCTTGCAGATGTCACAGAAGAAGGCCTCCTCGGCCGAGGGTTCTTCGCTGTCCCCCGCATCCTGACCATGTCCGCCATGGCCCTGATTCTTGCGACGCTGCTGCCGCTGATCCCGCTCCTCGGTGTTGGGGATACGCAGCTTGGTCCGCAGGATTTCACAGGCATCCGAATCGCCGGTGTCCAGCTGGCAGAAGCGAGCGGTTACCACCTTGCGGGTTTCAGCTGGAAAAATTATGAAGATATTAGTTTGTTTTCAATTAAATTAATTTAATAAATGTTAAAATAAGAATTGGAAGGTTTTCAGCTTCATTTTCTTTTTCTAAAATCTATTTTCTTATAAATAAACTATATTTTTATAGCAAAAACTCATAAATTACTCATTAAAAGCCTTTATCTATCCTCTAAAACTATGATTACATAAACCCTTAATAGACCTTTTCTGGGAACTACCATTGTTTGTGCTTACATTGGTCACAAGTCTCGTGTTGTACCCATAAAAAATATATATGGTATCATACTCTGCAAAGTCTTTAACAATTACTCTGATAAGAAATCAGTCATAAGCCAAGGTAAATATTAAACTTACAATTGACAAAACACTCACAAAAGACTCACAAAGTTGTACAATTAATGATTCACAGGTAGTTTTATATATGGTAAATGCAAGTCAATGTTTTAAAAGTACGAAAAAGCTAAGAATGAATAGTGCACACCTTATTTAAGTAATTATTATTTACTATTTATTATTAAAAAAATTTAAAAAAATAATAAAAGCCAAATCATGATTCACAAAAACTTGCATATACAAAAAATTCCTTAGATTTTGTATTTGTTTTATTTTTATTACTCTTTAAATTATGTTAAAATATATATTTCTTAATATTTATATTTTTTTAATATTTTTTTTTTTTTTTATATATAATTTTTATATATTTTATTATTAAATACAAATACTCACGATCTTTGGCCACCACCTTTTGGCAATTCATCAGCGGAAACTTGTTGGCTCCATTATCAAAATAGGAAAACTTGTTGAGGTCGAAAAGCCAAGTGTCCAGTGATTTTATTTTGTCCAAAGTGCATTCCTTAAGTAAATAATTTAATCATTTATAAGATTATTATTTTCAATTCATTATTTATTTTATGAAAACAAAGCCTGAGCATTGATCAAGACCTGGTAATTGAGGTATTAATTACTATTGCAGTTTGTTGCAACAGAATTATCTTATCGGTGGGCGGGTAGAGCAACTGATACCACAGACGACCTTGGTTATCAGAGAGTGGGAATACTTGCCCACTTGAACTCCATTCACTTGACCCAAATGTGGGAAGATTAGAGTCAGTTCTAGTGAAGTAGTAAAGCGCTTTAAGCCACTTCAAAGCGAGTGGGGGAAGCCCCTTTTCGAGGGGTAGGAATTAATAGAGGAGTACTTGGGAAAATCGGTTGGTAATTGATTCTAGTTAGAAGTTTAATTTGAAAAGCATTCATAATTAAATGAAAAATCTTTAAGAGGGGAATCACCTTTATCTACTAAAGGAAACTCATAAAACTTTAATATCTTTATGATTAAGTCTACAAGATATCTGGTTTTCTCCTTAAAAAACGATAGGAATTATTACACTTATCGTGTTTATGGTAAATTTATATTTATATTTTGATAATTTCTCAATATTTACTAGGCCAATATGACTTTGAATTATTTACCCTAGAGATAAGACTCTCTATATTTGCCCATATTTGCACTCAAATTATTGCGTATTCAAATCTTTAATGTCGTCCAACAAACTTGAATCGAAAATGTGATTACCTTCAGCGTCACTAATTTGATTTTGTATTATTTATTTGGACAAGAAAGTGGGTGAGATAAGATTTTAATGATGACATTTGAAGATTTTCTTCAGTTCACAAATGCCGCATTCACAAATTTGTTTTGACAAACGAAATAAATTTTGGGGGATTTAACTTGTGACTTCCTTTATGATAATTTCTAATGATAATAAATGATTTGTTTTAAAGAAATCACATTAGTTTTGTTGATAAACAATATAATTTATGGGTTTTATAATTAGCAAATAATTATTGATTTCAGGAGGTAAAGATTTGAATTAATTGTAGTTTTATTAGTGAATATATATTATATATTTTTCTAATTTCCTCTTCAAAATCCAAACCATTTTCAACTCGTTTCCAAAAGCTAATCGCTCATGTCGCCACTTGAAACACAAATCGAATTAATTCTGCAAGGAGATTTTCACAAGAAAAACCTGTCAGCAGCTCGTTAGGTGAAAATTTACGTTTGTTTGCAGCTTTTCCGAAAGAATTTCAACTGTTTGGCACGTGGCCTGCCTGACCTACAACCCCCCCGAAAAAAAGATGCCAGTAACAGAAAATTCACTTAACGTGGGAAAAAGGGATAAGGGAGGCCCGGGAAAAGGCTTGGAAAAATCCTTAAAAGAGTGAAAGCGGTGGAAGGAGGGGGGCCCACACAAGAGGACGACGACGTTGCACGTTTCCGTTTCCGCTTTGTGTGGGCTCTATTTTCAACTATTTCTTCCCTTTCACCTTTTTCTTCTTTATTTTTTGTTGCTTTTGTTGGTGCTAAAATTTATGTGCCCCGTCGTTTTAATTTGTGAAGCACTCTGATTAAGGTCAGGCGCGGTCCGATTTAGATTTCTACCAATGAAAAGGTTGGGCCAGGTCAAACAACAGGTCCTGGGTCCCAGGTTCTTAGTCCAATCATCAATCAATCCTTGCTGATGGATGGTCTACGGACGCCAGATGTTTATACACTTACCTCTGCCATTATGGTGGAATTGGAGCCCAGATCGGCGCAGCTGGGATTATCGCTAGAGTCGCAGACAAAGCACTTGATCGCGGCGCCTAAGGGATAATGTTTTATAATATATTTTTTATTGATATTATATATTATTTTATTCATTATTATATTTTAATTTATGTTTATATTATTATATTTTTATTTATTGTATTATTTTAAGAGGAAGGAAATTGAATTTAGATTTGAAAACCATTCATTTAAGCACTTTAAAATATTTAACCTTAACTAAGGAAATTTATAGAAAATAATGAAATAATTTTTGATACTTTTTAAAGGTATTTCAAGGCTAAAGAAATTTCTAAATATTTTTTTTTATTATTCAGCTTAGCTGCAACCAAATTTTCTTTCATTTAAATAAATTTGAGCAACTAAATAAATTGTTTATCATATTTTTCCAACAGTAATTATATAATTACTATTTTTAGAACTACTTTTTTTGCTAGATATTTTTTTATAAACTATAAAGTAATTAAAATGTATTAATTATTAAAAAGTATAATTAATTAAAATTAATAAATTTATTTCCAAAGGTAAAATACATCCTGCATTATTTATATTAAGATAGAATATTATTTTTATATATTAGAGCGGAAGGCCTCGGTAGCCATTGCTCATTATCCTTTGTTAACTTTTAGTTTATAACTATTAGTTAGCATTAAATAAATAAATAAATTTTTATATATTTATTTTATCAACAAAAATCCAAAAAATTATTTTAAACATTTTAAAAAAATATTAAAAAACTTAATACAGGTTTCTTTTGACTTTATCCTATTTTAACATTAATTTTTCTCATCTTTTCCAATATAGTTTTTCAAAATTATCCGACAGATTCCAATCACACATATCACACACCATTCGAAATGAAGGCCATCAAAAAGGCCAAAAGCAGCAACAAAACTCCCGACATCTTTTCCAGCACTTTTATTTCCAACTTTCTCAGATATATGTATATTCCCTTCCCGGAGCAATGAGATTTTTCAAATATTTTCAAACACTTGCACACTTTTCTCTCATTTAATTTTATATTCGCAGTCGAGAAGGTTCTGGCACAGCCGTTGGCCAAAGGCAAACTGAAATTGGAAGCCAGCTCAGCGAAGGCAAGAGCCCGAAGCCCACAAAAGAACACAAGCCGAACACGAATAGAACGAGGACGTCATCGTTTTGCCGAAGCTGCTCGAAGCTTGAAGCCTTCGTCCTTCGTCCTTTGTCCTTCGTCCCGGGGATCTGTGGCGCTGCGTGGGTGCGTTGCTCGAGTGGCTCCTGATTCCGACAGTAATAACGTCTTGGCCGCCCCACATGGCAGCCGAGCAAGAAATTATTTAAATTGCCAAACTGCAGAGGGGCCAAAAGGCAGCCAGAAACCGTCAAAAAAAAAAAGAGAGAGCTGCAGAACCGCAGGACTTCGACGAAACCAAAATAAAACGAAATAAAAAAAAGAAATGCAATTTCCTAGCGGCCAAAATACTTTTGCCTTTGAGCTGTGGCTCAAACAGCGTCAATTTAAATCATAAGAAAAATTGGGGAAAAGAATTTGAATAATAATTTTTGTTTTTAAAATAATGGGGATCTCTTTTTAAGCTGGGAAATAGGTAATTTAAAAATATAGGTTACTTTTAAAGGCTTTAAATAATTTTTTTATAATTATCTTACCTTCAATTTCTTAATATTTTGAGTTATGCCTCTAAAAGCGTCAATTTATCCATAAAAAAATTGCAGGAAAGACTTTGAATAATTCTTGAAATAAGTTAGAATACTTTTAAAGGCTTTAAATAATTTTTAATAAATATTTTACCTTAAGTTCCTTCTCCCACAGACCTGACCACCGACCCATTTGACCCCTAGGCAAAGCCAGATAAGCTCGCTTTCCAGGCTAAAATGAAATTACGTATTCATAAAATACGCAAAGAATGAAGAGGAAAAAATAACCAGACTCCTGCGAGAGGAGACTCTGTTGAAATATGAGTGCCCAGGGAGTTGGTTAGGCCAGGATCCACGAAGAGGAGGAGGCGGAGGAGAATCACGTTGAGGACACGTTGGACCCCCGGGGGTATCATAGGATGGCAGCACAAAAGCAGAGCAATTAGTGGCGCCCAAGAGCGAAAAACTCATCCGCATTTGCCGGCGGTTTTTTTTTTTTATCCTGACCTCGTCGCAGGACCACAAGACGACATCCGGCTGGGGTTTTAATTTATCGCCCACTTCCCACTCTTCCCAGCTGATAGCCCCAGCAATCCTGTGCCAAGCGTTTCCATTTATCATAAACAATGCAGACCGTGATTGGTGTAGGTCGTGGCCCTGGCCCCAAAAAAAAATCCGCCACGAAAGCGTTGGCTAATGTTCCGATTGTTCCTATCAGCACACGCCTGTGGTTTTATTTTTTTTTTCTTCTTTTTGCAAAAGTTGGATAAGCTTGGAGCAGGTGTGAATAGGTGGGTTAAACTCAAGTGGGGAGTACCTACTGCACTCTAGACTTTACTGGCGGTAGTTTTGAAGGTAGTTAATGCCATGACAGACAGGGTCACTGTGGTTTTTGTTAAGGGAAGTTGTGAAGTATTATTTAAAATTAATATTTGAAATGTTATTTAATAAAAAAAATTTATTTGGGAAACATATTTAATGGCATTTCATATTTGAAATCATTTTTGTCACCTTGAAATATTTAATAGTAATAAAAACTCTATTCTTTAGAGAATTTATAGTCCTTTTCTCTATTCTTGCTTTATTTTTTCTATTAAAAAGAATTCTATAACAGTTCCCATAGTTAATTAAAATATTTCTTTAATAATATATCCCATTCTTAAGTTAGCTTAAGCTTGTAAAACAAAATATACATTTTAAACCGTATCAATTTCATTACAAACTTTCCCTTCACCTTGGCAACTTGCTCTAGTTACTCCCTAAAGTTTTTCCCTGGGATTAAGCTGCCTTACTCGACCTTTGAGCCTTAAATAAAAACAACTTTACTCAGTTTATTAAACTTTCTTAAGGGACAACAACTTTTGGCAGTGAAAATTCCCTTTTTAATTATCCCAATTTTAGCTGGAAACCCTACACAATTCCAAATCAGAAACAAAATTCAATTACCCTTTAGTGCCGGCCATTTCCACATGGATTTTCGCGTTTTTCCTGGCTTTGGGCCATGGGAAATTGCGAAATTGCAGCCTGTTGCCGACGGAGTTTCATTTTTTTTTTTTGGGCAAAACGAAAGTGAAATCAGAGCCTGGCCGCGTGACAAGGATACATTTGGCTCAAGTGCTGTGTCTGTGTCTGGGACAAAGGCGATGACGTGGACGCTGTTGATGTCATAATTCCTTGGGTCCTGGCCATGGCATGCCGACACTTCATTACGCTAAACACCGACTGGACATAATTAAAAACGGTTTACGCACGCCTCCGTTTCCGTTTCCGGTTGGCATTTAGTTCCAGTTCGAGTTCTCTGTTTCCTGTGAAAGGTCAGCCATAACTTATGCTTTCGATTTTTACAACTTGACACATTTTTGCCAGTACTTGGCAACCTTTACAGGCTCTTTATCTCTGCATCGAACCGTAAACCTAGCCTTTACCTTGGCCATAAATTTTGTGTTGCCAAAAAGACTGAAAAAAAGAGGCCACACACAAGTTCCTGCTCTCTTTTTTGCTGCTCAACCCTTAATTTGTTGCAAATTCTGGGCCGGCAATACTAATTGAAAAACTTTTTTCCCCTACTTCAGCTGCATTTCTGCAGCAATAAAATATTTACGATTTTGGCTAGCCGCACAACAAAAAATTACACTCAGCCTGTGTATGTGTGTGTCAGTCCCACCGATAATGGGCTCTGCATAGTCACTCGTTTGGTTCTGTTCTCTGTTTTGTGTTGACTCTGGTTTAATTGCGTTTTATTACGTATACGCACCGAGGTACGCCGCCAGCTGCCAATTAACTTGCCACAAGGCCGAGGGGGAGGAGGGGGAGTTGGGGGAAACCAATTCCATGGTAGCTATGTAGGTAGCTTGCAGCAATAAACATAAAACTTTATCGTTGGCCATATCTGCAGCCTCTGGGCAAATCAATCGCTTGCAAATGCGCTTGGAAAATGGTGGAAAAGCTGCAAGGAAACACGCACACAATGGCTAAACACACACAGACATTTGATAGTGGGGGTTAAGCCTGCACTTTATATTGAAGCCTCGACAGCGTAGGTATTTTATGGATACTTTTTATGGCTGATTGGGGATTCAAACTGGCTCAGAACTTGAATTTAAATAAATTTCAATTGACTTGTTGGACAAGGGAATTTATTGGGGATACAGGAAGCTTAGAGACATCAGAGAAATAGATTAGAATGAAAGAAGAGGTTCCTTAAATATTAAATAAAAAAGATATATACTTTTCTTAATGGTTTCTTTTCCTTTACCCACTTCCCTAACTTAAAATCCAATAAAAACCGTCACAACTCAATAAAGCTCTCGCCATCTAAGCCACCTAAAAGTTCCTCCGCCGATCATCTTCAGAATTTCAAGCACCTGAAATCAATTTGGCAGGCAAACACAATGCCAAAGTACGTAATTTTTTCCAGCAATCACTTGCACTTGACTGGCAATTCCATTAGGCTTCGAGCAGCAGCAGCAGCCAGCCTCAGGTGGAGAAAGAAAAATCGCCAGAAAAGCCAGGAAAAGTGAGGTGCATTTCCGCTCTATTGTCCTCTCTGGTCTCTAAGCCATTTACAGGTCAATGAGCTGCTACTCGGAGCACGTCTCTGCGAGAGGAAGAGAAAAAGGGCTTTGCCAGCAATTTGTAGGTGTCTTCCTCACGCTCGGTCTTGGTCTCGGATGCACGTGCACTGGCTATGCACTGGCAGCTTCATCACCATCATCTTCACAGACAGCAATCAGCTACCGAGAGGGCGTGACAAATACAAAATATCATTGCATACTTCTAGGTTGCCGCGAGAAATATTTACTGCGCATTGCGTATACGCCACGCAGGCACCAGAGACGTGACTCAATGCCAGAGAACAATAAAAATAGTTTCATGTGTAAAAGCCAACAAATATAAATCAAGCCACTGATTAACATGGGGGGGAAGCTCTAAAATGCCAGAGACAAGGAAAACTTGGTTGAGATTTTATTTCTTGGGTTAAAGAATATGTGGAGTAATATGTTTACTATTTTCTAAGTTGGAAATAATTTTGGGGCAGAAAAAAGAAAACATATTTGACCGAGTTTTCTTAGACTTTAAACTTAGATTTGTAATGTTTTTAAATATATTTACTTCTTCTTTAGAAGTCAAAAATATTTCCTTGAATATTACAAAGATTATACACAAAATTTAACGCAGTTAACTAAATTATTTTAAATTTTTAATAGTCTATCTATAATTAATACAAAATTTAGCTCCTTAAACACTTTAAATTTATTACAAATAATTTGTTCTTTACTAATTTTCCTTGTTTTTTTGTTGTTTACCCTCAATTCCAAGCCGCAAAATTATTATTTCACTGAGAAATAATATATCCCAGCTTCCATGACATGAAAAACAAAAGATTATAGAAAACCCTAGAACAAAGACAACTTTATTTTTAGGGTGGTGGTTTTCTTTGGGATTTCTTTGTTTTCTTGGCCCCTCGACCCACACTGCGTATGCGCAATTTGGCGCTTAATGACGTTTATGGCAGCTTACGTTTATGTTGCATACTTTCGAGCGCCAGTCAAGTGTGAAACTTGCCAGCGAGAAAAACAAAAAATTACAAAGAGAAAAACTTGAAGCTCAATTCAATTAGTTGTAAGCTCTATTGTTAGTGAACATTTAGCAAGGTTTTGCGGTTTACAAAATAAATATATGAATTTTGGGATCGTATATTATAGAAATATAAAGAAACTTCAGCATATAATATGAGAGTGGGTTACAAAATATTTTTATAATTATAAAATTAAAATATATATAAATTCTTTTAATAAAGCAAATTTTATGGTTAATTTTTAAACAATTTCGTAAAGTTATAGTAGTTTTCTAAAGGGCATATCAAATTTAATTAAAGAAACCTTACGCTATAAGCAAGGTTTTATTGAAATAAGAAACACTCTTTTATTTTAAAAATTCCTAAAATTATAGAATAATACAAACAAAACAATTTATTTCCTCTAGACCTACAGAAACCTTTATTAAATTAAATTAAAAGAATTAATAATTGAGTTATTAGGAGTCAAAAAAAAATATTAAAAAAATCTTAAAACCTTTTAACTTACTTAAATGTAAATATGACATTTTAAATAAAAATAAAAATATTCTTAATAAATAAAAATATTGAATAATTTCAATACAAAACTCACTAAAATCTCTACACCTTTTTTTCCCCTTGAATACTTTTAGGCTTAAAGTTAAAAGACCCTTTAATAAACTCAACGAATTACACACAAAACTTAAGCATTTATTTAACACAACTCAGCTCACATGTGTCATTTAATGTTTACAAATTAAACAATCAAAGAAAATACGAGTGCCAAAAAAAGCTGCTGAAATACATACATGAGAACACCAAGACCACCAACAATAACAAATGATTGGGCCAGCGTTTTTGGCGAGGGCGCTCAGTGAATTCAAAATCAATGTTTTTTATGTTGGCGCCACGCTGTCCACGAAAATAAAAGGAAGCGTGGAGCGACTGAGCAGACAGAGACAAGGCTGCTGCCCCAATGGAGGCAGTGGGCGTGGCATTCGGAGATGAGCTTGCTGCGGATGCTGTTGCTGTGGCACACAAAAAGGCGATGGGCGATGGGCGCCTCTCTGTCGGCAGAACGCACAGCCATAGACAAAGGCTGCAGGACCATTCGCATTGAGCATTTCAGTATTTTGAGCTGTTGGCGACGACAGAGCACAAATGCTAACGCATGTAGGTCGACCCACTACAAGTACAAACATATACATATCTGCTACCCGCATCTGTCTCTGCTCTGTATTTGTAGCTGTATCTGTATCTGTGTATCCTGTGTGGCCTGTGTATCTGTGCGAACGCGTTCCGGTGGCTGTGTGTGTGCCAAAGACAAACAGCAACTGGCTGGGCATTAAAGTCACTGGCCAAAGTCCACAAAAAATGATGTGTATTTAGGAAAAAAATATTCTAGAAAATTTGCATCTATAAAATATATAGTTTTAAGTATAAAATAAAAAATATATTAATTAAAAAGAAGCGAATGATTAAATTTTAAACCATTTCGTAAAATAATTGTGCATTTTTAAGGGCCATTAATAATTTATTTAAGGAAATCTTACACTATTGCCAAACTTTTATTGAAATAATAAATACATTTTGATTAGGTATTTAATTTTTAAGTATTTTAAAATCCATAAAATTATAAAAAAATACCCTATATTTTTAATAGATTTTAATAATTTAAAGTAAAAGACAAAATAAGTTTCTTAAAACCTTTAATAAATATCCTAATAATTTTTATTCCCCAATTTTAAATCTAGAAAATTTTTCTATTTATTTTTATTATTATTTTTTTTTGGTATTATATATTATTATTTATATTTATTATATTTCTATTTTTATTATTTATTTATATTTATTATATTCCTAGTTAAATTATTTATTTATATTTCTTATATTATTTTTTATAACTTTCTATTTATTATATTTCTATTTTTATTTATTAATTATTTTTATTATATTCCTATTTATATTATTTATTTATATATATTTTATATTATAATTTATATTACATTTTTTCACCCAGTGCACTTCTCACTTGGCGTGCGGTTCTGTGCTTGACTTAATGGCCCAACATGTCGTCAGAATTCTCTCCTCCTCGCCCATCCTCCCAACAATAAAAACTAACAAAGTTGCCCTATTATTTTTGGCCTGCGTAGACAGTGACTTTGACTTTCTCTGGGCCACAAAACAGACATAGCAGCAGACATTTTGGCAGCAGGACTGAGGGACTGGGAAAACAGGACATGACAGGAGTGAGGGTGTGTGCGAGTCCTTGGTCAACTTATGCGTTACATATGAAAATTTTCGATTTTATATAATTGCCGAGCCACATTTCGCACATCTCCGCCCCCTTCTTTTGGGGTGGAATGGAATGCCTAATGCATAAATTCCCGCCCTCAGTTTGGCCTTTAATGGTTTTGGACTGAAAGTGATTTAAGTGCTAAACATAAATAATTGAATTGCTGCCAGGGGAATGTGTGTGGGAGTTTATGCAACGATAATTTATGGTCAATATTTTTGGACATTAAAGTGGTTTCTCGAAAATATATAGTGAAAGTCAAAGGATTTTCCATGGTTTCAAGGGAAATATGTATTAACTTGACAGTGAAATTAACTGGAATTTATTTTAAAGAAGTTAAGGATTATTTAAGCTAGAAAATATATATAATATTATTTAAAATGATATAATATTTGAATAAAAAATCAATAAATCGGTTGGAACCTTCTCTCCCCTCTTTATATCAATTATTCAATAATTATAAAAATATTTAAAAATGAATACAAAACAGAAATAAAACACAAATACCCCTTCATTTCATTTAAATATTACGCTTATATTTTCATAGAAATTAAATACAAATACAAGACAGATGGGATGCTACTACGATGGACATAACAACTAAGGATATGGCATACATCAGAGAGTGGAGTGTAGAACTTAGTGCAGTATTTTCATTAAGACTTAGATTATTTCTTTAGCCACTTGTAGAATAAGGTACTCTTTTTTGCAGGATATACAAGGAGACGACGACGGGTTTAGTGCCTCAGCAGGGAGGAGGCCACTGCCAGACTGACCACAGTGGCCGCCAGACTGTAGCCCACCTGCCGGGCTCCCATCAAGGAGCTGGCTCCATTGCAACCCTCCTCACTGCAGGTGCACACCACCTGCTTGTAGCCCTCATTGTCGGCGGTGAAGCAGGCATTCTGGATCTTCTCCGGTATCCAGCCGCAATTCCGCTCGATCCGATGCCCAGAGTTTACCTCAAACTTGATCACAGTCTTCCGGCAGAAGGCCTGCTGGCCCACAGGCGCCACGCAATCCTTGAGATACTGTTCGTCGCGCTGGGCGCGAGGGGTGTTAACCACCAAGCTGGCGCAGTCCTCGTTCTCGTGCGAATTGCACTGATGACAACGAATGGCAGACACTGGAAGAAAGAGGGGAAAAGAATGTTTAATTTAATATTTTTAATTATAAAAAGGTTATTTCCATCCCTTAGATATCACCTTTAACCTTTCTTCTTAATTAAACTTCTTTTTATTCAGACCTTAATTGGAAACGTGGCTACTTCTAATGGCATTCAAATTCGCCCTTTTCAAAGTCTCCGACACACTGACAGTAAATTATTTTATTAGCCCCCCTTGAGACTCCCTTTTACCCCTGTTTTTTTAAACCCTTTCCTTTGACTGTCAGCGGGTAAAAACCTTTGACTGACAAACTGACTGCGATCCAACTGCAGTAACCTGAATAATTGCATGTCAACTGTTTTTAGAGGCCAAAACAAAAGAAATAAATGCTGAAATATCCAATGTTTTGGCACGCAAACCTTTGAGGACCTTAACTTTAACAAAGTACAAAGGAATGAAATCTCCAGGGATTTAATTAAAAACGAAGTGTGGTGACCCTTTCAGGAAGGAGATGGTTATCTTAAGAGAGCTGTAGACTCCCTCTGGAAATTATTTAAATTTTTGAAGTTTATTTTGTAAGATATTTAAATTTTAAATTGGTAATTTATTAGTTTCTGAGGAAAAATAAATACTTGTATATTTTTATTAAATATTTATTATATATTTTAGTATACAAAATGTGATAATATTTTTGTAACCACTCAAAGAACTTAAAGCAAGGCCTTAGAAAACTTTATTAAAATAAGACCTTCCCTTGTAAACAGAAATTTCCCTTAAACTTTGACATTTATTCAGTCAAATACCCTTTATAATCCTTAACAATTATCTTGTCTTATAACCATTGACCATATTTAACAACTTCTAGCCACAAAATTCGTTACCAATTGACCTAAACCTTAACCCTTGACCAGAATGCAAATTGCCGCGACTTTCAGTCATCACTCAAAAGGGTTTTTTCCTTAAGGATCTAACCAACAAAAAAATATACATATATCCTCCCAAAGGGCAAGGACATTCAGACAGTTACTTCAGCTTGTAAATTCGAAACATGTCTGAACTTGTCAGGATTATAAATGTCGAGCACATAAGCCATTTTTTCAGTCGAAATTCCAACACTTTTCGGGGGCAACTCACGTAAATCTCACGTAGTTACAGTGAGCTAATTAAGTCACTGTTCCAAACAAACATTAAGTAATAAAAAGTCACCTGCCATTAGAAAATTCTACAGTGGCAGTTTCTGGGCAGCCGTTTGTTTAGAGAATTTGCATATTTTGCATTTTGCATTTGCATTTTACATTTGCTGCATATTCATGCGGCTTTTCAGGCAAACTTGAACTGGCGAAAAGCGGAAAAACTGGGGGCGAGGGAGAGGGAAACCTCTCACAACTGTTGCTTTTGTAAAAGCGTTTTTTTTTTTACATTTATTTGTTTGTTTGGTTAGTACTGCTACATTGTCTAAAAAAAGGAAGTAGTTAAGTTTCACGTAAAGATAATAAATTTAAAAGATTTTCTCTTTTGGATCAATTTGGATCTCAACTTATTCATCTTTTTATTTAAAGAATTTATTGGTATATGGTAGCCATCCCATAAACCCTACTTTTTATTATTATTTATATTTATTTATATTTTATATTCCATTTCTCCCTGTGCATTTCGACTCCTCACTGAAACGTGAATATTTGCTTAAACGATTACGATGTTCGTGTCCAAATACTTTCAATATAATTTAACGCCATTTAATGTGTGTTCCCTTAACAAGTGAGTGCGAGCTGCGGAATTGCTTGGACAATCAATGCATCCGTGTCGGAACTCTACAAAGGCCAGCTCTGTGTGCGTGGCTCCACGAGGCTAATTACTATAGACTTTTGGATATTTTAAAAATAAATTTAATTGTTAATCAACTGCTGGCGGGCGGTGAAGTGAAACGGCGGAAAAAAACAAGACAACAAAAAGTCAAAGGAAATCGTTAAAAGGTTCAAGAACATTTTTAAAGTTTGATTAGTGATAAATAAAAAATGTTTATAAATATTTTAGCAACTTACAACCATTGATATTACATTGAAAATATAAACAAAAATAAATTACTTAAAAATATTTTTTTTATTTATTTATAAGTAATTTAAATAATTTTTCTTCGATAGTTTATTAAATATATATGAGAGTATATATTTTCTTTATAACTTTCTAAAATTTCAAAAACTATTCACTTCATTGAGCATTGTCCCTGACCATCATTTATAATTTTTCCTACCAATTTTCCAACTCAATTAGACTAGTTAATTTTTCTTGCTCTATAAAACCGAAAAAAAAACCGGAACCAATAAAAAATCAATTAAATTTGTAGCTTGGTTCGCCAATAGCTTTGATTTGCAATTTTCCATAAGAGATGAGTCACTGCCAACACCAGCCAAAGGGAAAAGTGTTTGTGGCATGGATTTCCACCTCAGTGATTCGATGAGTTGCGGTTGATTTGGTTTTGAATTTAAGCTAAACGAGAAAATCGATCAATTTGGCACAGAAAACAATTGAAGAACATCAGCTAAAGTGTTGGCCAATCAATTGCTAAGCTTGTTTTAAATTGTTTTTTCAATTGAATTAACAGAGAGCGTTTTTCATCATTATATATTTAAGTTAATTAATTAATTGAGCTGTATAAAATCTAATATATATATTTCATTTAATTTAAGTTAATTAATTTAACTATTTAGAAACTCACCTGTTAAGATATTGGCCGCCACTGCCAGGCAAACGATGATGAACGTTGTTGTTGTGGACATTTTTGCGGTTTATTTGCTGTAAAAAAAGTAATACAATTTTCTATTATATATTTATCTGATTTACTTTATGTTTTTAGCATCTTTGACTTTGTTTGTAATTCGATTAACGCTTCGATTATAATTATAATCTATAACTTGTTGCGAGCGGTTCTCATTTACACCTGCAGTAAACCGGTATCAGACAGAGCGTGGCTGCTCAACGTGACACTTGCTAATATTTTTCTAAGGCAAACATTTCATTTTAGAATTTAGATTTTATGGGTTTTGGTTTTATATATGTATTATAATTGTGCGTATTTTTGCAAGTGGGTCAATGGGAATGTGGTAAATATTTTGTGTAGTATAATTTTTTGTGTAGAGAATTTATTGTTCAAATTGAAAATTTGTAAAAATTGTACTGATTTTATGTTAATTATTTGAATTTATTATTTTTTATTATTAATTGTTATATTAAACGTAAGTAATATATACTCTTTAATTATAATTTATTAAAATTTTTTTTATAAATTTAATCTTCATATTTCTTTATTTAAAAGTGAGTAAACTATTTCTAAGACTTTTCTAATCCATAACATTGGATTGTCTCCCTTTCAACTATTTTTTAACAACAAATATAACATTTAAATAATTGTAATAAATATTTAAATAACTCTTCATTTGTAATGGTTCATTCTTTATCTTCTTTAAATAAAACTAGCTTTCTGTTTATAGTTTTCAATTAATGTCATTAAAATTCCTTTGGCAGGGTTCCTTGAACTTTTTAAAGTATTTAATAAGACTAAAAATATTTTTTAAGATTTATTACTTTTGATAAAATTTATAAATTCGATAATTCACTGGTTTTTTATGTAGACTTTTTGATAGAATTGATATATTTAAATATTCTTTAACAATATTTTTTACAATATTTCCATAATTAAATTTACTTTAAATATATATTTGTCACTATTAATCACCTTTTAAATTATTTTATTATAAACCCACTTTACACTTTGTAATATGTTAATTATTTATTACAAAATTAACAATTAATTTGCACAAAAATCTAGCTTTAAGGGCGAGAGCGAACGTACAACTTGACGCGAGCACCGTCGAGATGAATCTAAAAACTCGTATTGAACTTTTTGAAAAACGTTGATTTTTCAAAAAGCCAGATGAGAGCCAAAGAGAGTCTCAATCTCAGTTTCTCAGTCTCTCTTCTCTCTCACCAGCCAGATCGGCCCTAAAAGTCAGCAAAAAAATAATGGAAATGAAATGGAAAAACTTCCGTCACTCGATCCACTCTGCAGGGTCGTGTGAGTATGTATATATATTCATATACATATATATATTCTCGTACTCAAGTATAAGGGGGATGGATGCTGTGGCTCTACAAGGTAAGATTCACTGGCTGCATTGATAAGCTCCCAGGTTTCGCTGGATTTTTTTTGAGAGCCGAGCTTGGTTCTTAACCCAAAAACAACTGGGAAAGCACACACAAAACACAATCCAAATGGAATCCACCGGTTCGAACTGGTTAAGAACGGTGACACAGTGACGTCATTAACAAAAAAATATAAACAAAAACATAACACAGATGAGGTCTTAGTAACCTTGCCTGTTTTTATTAATTAATTAATTTTATAAAGATTTTCCTTGTTAAGGAATTGAAATTTTAAACGGGAAAAATTCAAGTAAAATCTGTAAATATTCTAGCTAAAGTAAAATTATAAATAAATATTTAAAAATATTTTCAATGAATAAGCATTAATAACTTAGCCAAATATATTTTAAAAATAATTTTTTTATATTCTCAAAAAATTACTAATAAAAACCAATTAAAGAACTATTTAAAAACAACTTGTTTTTAAAGTCCCAACACTCCTTTACACTTTAAAGAGAAGAATTCCTATTAGAAATACATAAATAAATAATCAAAAACAATAAATTTCATTCACAAAAACCAAATAACAAAGCTATTAAGGTAATTAATTTTTATTCAAGGGGAATTCCTAGATGGAAATCTTCAGCCCACTCCCCCGGGATGTCATTGCCACTTCCAGGTTGTTCCCCACTAAAAGTGATCGACGGATTGGGTTCCGGTGGCCAGAGATGAGCTGAGCTTAGCTCAGCGATAGGAGGTCATTCTGACGGCCATAACTTGGACTGTACTACACGGACTTATTGCTTACTACTTAGTACTTGTGATTGGCTTCCCCCTTATCAACGACGCTGATTAGTTAAAACTGGTTCGCACCTCCAAAAACCCAGCTCTGTTGGTTTGGTCTAGTCCGCATCGGTGGCCACAGACTTTCCGACTCTGCTTAATTGAGGGAAAACAGACTGGGACATGGGACTACTACGGAACACAGATAGGGAAAAGAGCTTATCTGTCCTAGTTCAAGGCAGTTTTAATGGGACTTTTAACTGAGGTTTTTTTTTTATTTTTTGAGCTGATTTTTTTGAGTCATCATTACGCGCGTGGAGAGGTTCTTTGAAGTAGTAATCCAGCTTTAGCTAAATTTTATTTATATTATTTTTTTCTAAAATCTTTTTCATACGTTTCACTTCCTAAAAAAAACTCCCCTCTTAATTAGGTATCCGATTTTGCAAGCTATGCATTTAATTTGAAATTTTCATGCCACTTTGTTTGTGGGAAGAAGTCGGGCCAAACCGAATTAATTCAGCGGTCGAACGACTCAGTTGCCGGTTTTAGCCAGTTCGAGGCGGTTCTGGTGGCTTCAAACCAAGCCAGAAAATTGTGGAAAATTTTTTGAAGAAGTTGAACAGCACAAAAATAAACGAATAAATGGAAATCTCCCAATGGAAAATTAGGAAAATGCTTTTAAAAATTGATTATGTGATGATGATGGTGTTATCAGTGGTTTAAAAGATATTTAACAAATGATGAGACTTTTTAAATCAAGTTAAACATTTTATTTAAATTAATATTTAAATTAGCAGTAATGCTAAAATGTACAAAATAAAGTATTTGTGTTAAAAAAAATGAAAAGAAAATATATAATATACTATTACAAAAGGTTAGTAGTGAAGAATACATTTTTTTTTAATTAAAACTATAAAATAAACATAAATAATTAATAATAAACTTGTTAAGAAAAATAAACAACGAAATTGTAATTAAAACAAAAACTACTTTAACCCACAACTAGTCTTTGAAATTAATTTTAAACGTAAAAAATATTAAAGAACAAGGAAACTTTTTAGTAAAAAACAAATGGGTTCAACAAAATTAAGAAATATCTAAATATTTGTTGTAAAACTCACCTAATTTTTTTAAATTTATTCCTCGTTTATATTAAATTCCTTGATAATACTAAATAAAACCCATTGGGTGGGAAATGACGAACCAACCTGCTGCAAATCGAACGTGTAACTGAGGGCTCACCGGCGGAGAGGTCTTTGTTTTTGAGGCTTAATGACATTTGGGATCGTATCGAAATCAAAAATCGGAAATCAGCTGATCGAGGAGAACGTTAAGAGAGGTCAGACACTGACTTTGACTCGCTTTATTATGAAAAACCAAATAAAAAACAGAAGAAATGAGCACAGATTCCTGTTTGCTGGCCGAAACTGGTTTGTTAATATTTATGTTCTTTTTTATTAATTTTATTCCGATTAAAGTCTGGAGATTATTTACTCCCCCTCAAAGCCCTCTTCAAGACAAGATTAATTACTTATAAAAATCCGCTTTAAAAAGCAAAGTCAGAGCAAACCAGAAATAAATTAAATTGAAACCGAAAATATGGGTTCAATGTGCCAATCAAAACAAGGGGAATTTTACCCCCAAAATACTGGGTTTTATTTATTATTTATTAGAAAAAGCTTTTAGTGAATTCTTCAACTTAGAAAACAACAACTTTTAAGCTTTTGGTTTTAGAGACAAGCTTTAGCTTCTTAGTTAGTCTCAATGTTATTTAAATTTAAGCAATTTGATGCTAAATCTGTTTCGTCAACATTTTGATTAATCGTACTTTAACCCCAAAAAAATTAAACCAAAGCCAAACCAATGTCTTAAACTCTTTTTCTCACAAAGCCTATTTATAGACGAGCAAACATAATTTAATGCAATCAATTGAGGGGCAATTACACTTGAAAAAAATATATTTAAGGAGATTAATATTTAATACGAATACGAATATTAAAAAGTACGAGTTTTTACTGCAAATTAATAGGTGAAATAAATTTTCAAACAATAATAACAAGTGTATTATGAAAGTATTGTAACTAATGTAATATTTAAGATATTTACAAACTCTTTATTGATAGGTTAAGATATTTTTGTTATTAATATTATAAAATTTGATAATTTTGTCTAAAATATTGATATTTAAAATATCGAAATGCCAAAGCTTACATTTTTAATATGATATTAAATATGTTTATTTTTTTTATAATTTATTTATATAATTTTTTTATTTAAAATTATTAAGTGTCAAAGGTAACGATATTTTTTGTTGTATGATAGCGAAAGCGATTTTTAATATATTGATTTTATCGGAATTTTCTTTTTCGATATTTATGATATTTCGATATTTGCTTTCATTTAAATAAATATAATTTTAATAACAAATAAGTAAGAAAATATATATATTTCTTAGTGTAATAACCCTAGGAAAATAGAAAAAAAAAGTCACTCTCGCTGGAGAATCTCCCCTTAAGGGCCTGGATCCACCTCTTCCCCCTCACAACTGGCCGGACTTCTTCAATTTCGCGCACTTGATTGGCGCACAAAGGCAAGGCAACGCGATCTGCAAAAAAAAAAAATGATAAAACCTACACTTTTTGTGGGTGGAAAAGAGAAGAAACTTAATTCAATTGAATTGACCAGCGTCTTGGGGGCAGCAGCAGCATCAGCCTCAGCCTCAGCATCAGCAAGTTGTGCGATATTTGTGATAAGCTCCAAGAGGAAGCCTGCGATTAAGCTTAATTAATGCACTCTAGCCCGAGATTTATGCTTAGGCCATGTGCGACTCTCCTCCTCGTTGGCTTTTCACGTGTAGAAAAATAGATTAAATGTCTGGACGCCTCGTTGAAGTGGCGCTCAGGGTTATAAGTGGGGACTTGTAGGAAAGTCCAATGCACTAGCCTTTGGCTTAATTGTAGGCTTTAATTAGGTAGGTACTTGGATAACCATAAACAAAGTGAATATATTGCGTATTTTAAAGAAAAAAGTGTAGCAAAATGAGAGGTTACAGGTATGTTTTTGTGATTTTATTTAATTGGGAAATTAGCAATATTTTTAAAATAATTTAAGATTGATTTTTGGGAGGTTTAACTCTAGAATCTAGAATCTAGAGTCTAGATACAAGAATAAAGATAAGAAATTTCATTATATTTATATATTAAAAATATTTCAAATTAAATTTAGGGGTATTATTAAATAACTTATATAAATGCGTTTTAGTTTTCTAATTTTAATTTAAATTTTTGAAAGAATAGAAATTGAATTCTATTAATATTTTTAAAATACTTAAAATTATTTATTTGAAAGAATAGAAATTGAATTCTATTAATATTTTTAAAATATTTAAAATTATTTTAAAGGTGTTACAAAATTACTCATAAATCGTTTTTAATTTTAATTTTTAATTATAAAAAATCCATTTAGTTTTTGGCTCTCATATTACTTGGGGATCCAAAGGAAAAAGATAAAAAAAAATATCATAAATGATGCTGTATAGACATTTTAAAATACTCAAAAGTATCTCACTCAAGTTTAAAGATTTTTGTTATTAAATTTCTAATTTATTATATTTTTTAAGCATTTCTTAGCTTTTTTACCTTATAAATTGTACTTGAAAAACTTTATTTAACCTTAAATAAAATATTAAATACACTTCCCATCCCAAAACCCTTGCTGACTAGTGCCCCAGAGTGAGATACTTTTTTTCCCAGCTACATTTTCCGTATCTCCTGGCCTGCACACACACAGAAAAACCATACCCAAAGGCGGAAAGAGGACGCTGGCTCGCTCAAAAGCTTGCCGGCGAAAAGCTTCAAAAACCGAATCCAAAACCGAGATACAAGTGGGGAACTGGGACTGGGCTGCTCCATCCGCCCCGTTGGCCCGCACATTTCGTTGGTACTTTTGTCGAGTGCGGCTGCTGCCTTCGCTTAGTCGTTTGCCGTTTGTCAACCGTTTGCCAGCGTTTGTGCCGTGTGCGCCGAAAGCGAGTCCAAGCTCTTTGCAAGGGGAATACTATTCCAGAGGAGATAACACCCAATCTGTGACAAGAATCTCTCGAAATCGAGGCGAAAAAAAGCAACGAATTAAACACAGAAACCTAGTGCTTAGAGTGCATCTAAATAAAATAATTAAAACTAAAAGTAAAATGCAGAACATCTATGTGATTAGTGCGCTGATTTTGGCCATTGCCGTGCAGCAAGGTAATAAGAAAAAGGACCTAAAAAAGTCAAGAGACAACCGCGAGAGATTACATAATACCAGATATGGCCAAGACAGGGGGCGGGTTTCCATTTCCACACACACAAAAAGTTCCAAGGGGCTGGGCTGGGAGGAGCAATTTATATGGGAGAGCGCTGTCCTGTGGCGCCGTCCTGTCCTAGACAGACGCCACAAGAAAGAAAAATATAACCCCGAGTATCTAAGCCGGCCGCCGTGGCGCCCGAGTAATATTTGCATTCAATAGATATAGATATATATAAGCTCCTTGGGGTTCCTTGAGCTCTCCGAGCGAACTTTTTGTCTCTACTTCGCCACTCTGGCTCTCTGCCAGAGTCACAGCTTTTTCTCCATGGAAAAAGGCAGAGAAAAAGGACACCAAGAGAAAGGATGTTCCTTTTTCACGCCTTAATTGTGCCGGATCATAATTAAGTCCTTTGCACTATGCAAATTCTTTGAATGATGAGCTCTAGGAAATGGTATTATCTCCTAGTACTTCCTTAGTTCTTTAAGAAAATCCTCCTTTTTTTCTTGCTCCACATATGTGTGTGTATGTGAAAGATTAATGTAGGACATGCGCACTCTATTTTGGTTTAAAAAAAAGGTAGATGCAGTAATCCGATACCCAAAATCGCCTCAGTGGCTTATATAAAAAGAAGTCTTGAGTCTTTTAGGGGATCTATTTGTTTTGTAAACATTTAAATTGTTTTTTATTTATATATATTTTTTGTTTTTTATTTTTGTTTATATAAAGCGTTCTATTTTACTGGCCAGACAATGCAATCAATGCATTTTATTGCTATTTTTAGAGACTGTAACAAGCCTTAATTGGTTGTGTCTGAGTGTAGACTGTGTGGAGACCGCCAAAGCTATTAGGGAAAATTTTACAAAATATTCAAAAAGGGGGGAAAATTTTTTGGTAATTTTAAGAGATATTTTAAAGCCTATGAGAAGTCTAAATTTAAAAATATATATTTAATATTGAAAGGTTAGATTTTGTACATTTTAAAAGTATTTAATAAATTTTATTAAAGGAGAACAATTATTATTTATTAACGGTTATAATAACTTTATTTTAAAAGTATTATACAAATTTTATTCAAGGAGAAGTTATTTAGAACAAATATTATTAAAAATTATTTTAAATGTTTAATAATGTGTATTCTCTTAAGGAAAAATATTTTGATAAATATAATTTTAAATATGTGTTATGAATTTTAAAATAATTATATATTAAACATTTTTGATGTGAATAAAAAATATTATTTGACATTTTTAATTTAAACAAATAATATTTTAAACATTTTTAATGTTTAGAGATCAATGAACTATTAAAAAAAAATTATATAGAGTTTAATTTAAAGTTTCTGCAATTATAAAATTGTTTAAAATATAATTTAAGAACAATTTTTTTTATATTCCTCTAACATAGACAAAATATATATATTTAAATATTAAAAACCGACTACAAATTTAAAGTGGACTTTGTAAAATTTTTCAGATTATTTTTTAATTCAACCGCATCTTTTCTTCTTTGTTAAAATTTCAAACCAATTAGGTATCTATTTCAAAACTGATATCCTCTTACATTTCCTGCCATATGCTTGATGACTTGGCTCCCAAAAACTAACTCATCTTACAGACCATTTTCCCGCACAAGCCATTGTCCTTTCGAAAAGCTTCCAAGCTACAAAAAAAGGGCTACTCTGGTAGCCGTATCATCTTGCAACTACTTCCCTCCGTTTTTCCATTGTTTTCCCCAAGTAGCAACGCCTAAAAGCAGCCAGCACACTCTGTGCCCTGCTTATGTAACCCAAATTGGAGGAGAGACTACATACAAGCCAGGCAAAGCAAAGTGAAGTTATTCGAGTCCATTAGCAATGCGCCAATGTGTCAATTAGCAAGCCACTCTGAAGAGCCTTCGCAGACTGCTCCTAATGGAGGCGTCGATGGGCATCGCTGTAATCACTCACAGAAGCTGCTGGCCTTTCCTCGCCATTGTGCCATTTTTGGCACAGCGGGATGGCAAAAGCGCAATGCAACTTGCAAGTTGAAAGAGGGGAATATATATATATTATATATCATATATATTCCCGTTCCAGTGCCCAGTATATACGAAAGATTAAATAATGCGAATCTCGTGTCGCGCACGACCTTAAATTCAATTTAGCTAAGCAATCACAAGTACCTCCAGAGATCTCTCTTTATACCACCTCCTCTATATATCTGACTGTGCCAGCTCAAACAGAGATTTCTCTCTGAGATTTGTTTACACGCTTTTTCCTTTCATAATCACTTGTTTTTGTATAACTATTAAGGTTAAGCTTAGTTGCTGAAAAATATAAATTTTTGTATAGGGTTTTAAGTGGAAAATTCCAGGGTGAAGAATACGGGTTTTGGTTGTAGGTTTCTTATAGATATAATCAGTAGAAAACTAGTTATATTTCTAGAAAATAACTAATATTAACTATTAATATTATATTCAAGGTATAAATAGGTAAACGTGATAAAAATATAAGAAATTAGGGGGAATATAATAGTTTTTCTAGAAAAAAATATATCAAAATTTAATAAAAATTATCAAATAAATGTTTTAAATTCTAAAAAATAGTAAAAGAAGTTCAACGAAAGGCAAAATTAAATGTAAATCTGTTCATTTATATTTCAATATTTAAAATTTCATCAACCCTTTAAATTTTCAGGCTATGCCATAAAATGCTTTGTCTGCAACAGCCACAAAGATGCCAATTGTGCGCTGGACATACCGCCGGACAACTTGTTGAAGGACTGCGATGAGCAGTACTCGTCCCGCGGCAAGGGCATACCCACCTACTGCCGCAAGATCACACAGATCATTGAGTTCTCCGTGAACAGCCGTAAGAACAGGCCACCTTATGAAACCTAAAGTAAACTATAAAAAATAATATTTATACTTTTCCCTTTGCAGTGCCCCCAGATAGCCGTGTGATAAGGACCTGTGGCTACCAGAACCAGACCTCCACCAGCTATTGCTATCAGCGTGCTGGCTTTGGTGGTCGCCAGGTGGTCTGCTCCTGCGACACGGACAATTGCAATGGCGCCGGAGCGTTGGGCGTCTCCTCCACAGCAATGGTAGCAATGGTGGCAGTGGGACTCCTACTGGGCGCCCGCCAGTGGCTGCAGCGTTAAGTGGGGCACCGAGGGAGAGAGCGCCCACCTCAGTTGTTTTATTTTTTACTTTGTTTTTATCGAATGCATCCACCCAGTTTTTTTGTTGTTACGTATTGCTACCACTTCTGTGACTTCTTCACTTTCACCCGCTTATTGGCCCCATCAACAAGGTCCACTCGATGAGCTGCTCCAGAGACTGGTGAGTAAGCTTTACTATAACTTCCTTAATCCTTAATTAATTTCCTCATTTGTTTTTGCAGCTCTGGGACCAGCTTGATTTTGTAACAATTTTTTCAATGGAGAACCGTAAAAGCTTTATACAAAGTATTAAAAATAAAAAACAAACCGAATAATTCCCTTAAATTGAAGTGTATATAAAAAAACCAAAAATAAAAGAGAAAGCAAAAAACAAATTGGCCAATATAATCGTTCAAATTTTGAAACTAAACACCACGTATTAAAGCCAGAGAATGGAAAATAACGATATAAAAAATAACTAAAAACCTACCGCAGTTGAAATAAAAAGTATTTAAACAAAGTCAAAGGAGGCCACAATGTTAAAAATTAAGGCTTTACAAAAAAATAAAAAATAAAATAAAACAAAGTAGAACATAAACTATAAATGTTAACACTCTCTTTTGCCTAAGTTTCTCTACTTTTTATTTTCATAAGACTTAAAATTCTAAAAAAGGCAACAAAAAACAAAACAGCTAAAGCTAAATAATAAAAGTATTTAAAAAACGTAAAGGCTCAACGAGGAAGAACACACACTTCATAGTATAATTAATTAGCAAGCAATTTGGGAGGAGGAGGAGGCGGGATGTCTGGTGAACCCCCCAAAAGATAGTTGTGACACGCTTACGAGGCCCCCAAATATCTCTACTGCACACACTCCCCAAGGGAAACACACACACTCGTTGTTGTTGTTGTTGAAAACCAACTGCCAAAACAAAAAAAAAATAAGGAAAAGGGAAACGGAAACGGAAACCTGGAAGAACGAGCGTAGCAGGCAACATACCCGTAGAGGAAACACTAACCACTGAACCATGTTTGTCCATCGTAGTCTATAAAAAAAACAATGCAATTGCAAACCGAAAACCAAAAACCGAAAACCGATTTATAATAATAAACAATAAACGTTACACAAAAAAAAACAAACCAAAGCGAAACCCCGAGTACATCATTCTTTTAGTTTGAATAGCAAAATGAATTCAGTTTATAGTGACAATTTTTATTAGTTAAGAATCTCCTCTAAAAATGCAATATTTATAATGCAATAAAATTGTAAAATGTTTAAAGTGAAAAACAATAAATATGAATACAAAAAAAGGTGAGGGTTTTTTTTTATATATATATATCTCGTATTTTTCTAAACAGATAAAGGCAGTATAATTTGCTAAGGTTAAAGGTTCCTTTTTAAGTTAATTAGAATTTAAGAGAAAAAAGGTGAGAGGTTTTATTAATCAATTTAATAATATTTAAAAAAATATATTTTTTAATACGGAAATATAGTATTTGTATTTAAAACATTTTTAGTAAATTTTTTATTGTTAAACCAGTGAAATTTAAGAACCTTTTTTTTTAATTTTTGGAAATTTTTACCTTGAATAATCGTAGAAATCCTAATCTCCTCCCTCAAATATTCCATTAAATTAATTAAATCAGAGAAACCCAAATCTTAGCAAACTATACTGCATATTCCCTGCCACAAATCCTCAACTTTTTAACTAAAAAACAAAATGGATTGCAAACTGATATGGGAAATCAAACTATAAGCTTACTACGCCTCCTTGTGCACCACCCGCTTCAGGGCTAGGTAGCAATGGCGTGTGGCTAGATCGTGATAGCCCACGGGTCCTCGCTCGCAATCGGCACAAACAAGAAACTTCCTACCGTCCACTGTGTTGGAGAATCCAATGTTCTCGAACGTCATCATGTCCTTGACCAGCCAAAAGTCCTGCAGTGGCTCCGTGTTAAGGCTATCCGCTGTTCGGTCCTGCTTCTGCATCATTAGGGGCACTTCCACCTGGTCGAAAAGAGAGAAATGTAAACAATGGGTCTTTTGCTGACAAGGGAGCACCCGGCGAACTCACTTCCTCTTTGCTGTAGACGCCCTCATGGGCCTTTAGCATCAGGCTGTTGCAGTATTGGCAGCGCACATTGGTGTTGTTCTTGCCCTCAGCTATGAGCGCGGAAAAATCAGCTTCTTCTGTCATTTTTTCACGTTTTTATTATTATTTTTATTGACAAAGTGCAAGTGTTTACCAAATCGATATTTGGTCTATCGATAAATCAAATGTTAGTGAAGAACAAGAGTTGACCAACACTGGGATGCAACTATCGATATAAGCGATAGTTATTGTGACCGTTATCTATACGTTTTATTCGATTTGAAAATTTTTAAAGTTTAGTTTTTTAAAATTAAAGGACATACAAACTGTTTATGAAACTTTTGAAACAATTCAGAACAATACTTTCTTGTACTTTTCACTCAAAATTCGTTTGTTGTTGTTCTTTAAACGTTGTTTACTTTTCCAAAATTTTTTTTGTAAAGCCTGAATCTTAATTCCCATTCAAATTGGCTTTATATTTTTCTATTGTGTTGTGCAACGGTCACTCTAAAGTGCAGACGATAGTCGATACCGATCTCTTAGCATCTCTAGTGGCCGTTTTTAAACCGAAAAAAAAGTTCCTTTTTCCTTGTGACTTCATCGAGAGCAGCAGCTGTTCGTAGCCAAGAACTAACGGGTCAAGTGAGATTAAGTGAGGTGGCCAAGACCTGAGTCCAGGTAACTGTTTTGCCAAGAAGAAACACGTGCTTTTTCACCTGAAAGCTAACCCTACTCTTCGCAATGACTTGTGTTTCGAATTCCTTCTTCTTTGTCAGTGAATTCTTCTGTCAGATTTTGTGAATTGTGTGTGAAAGGGAAGATGAATATTCCTATCTACCAGGTGCCACCAATGGCCACGCAGTCGATGCGCCAGCAGTCGCTGTATCAGCAAACCTACTTGGACCGCAATCGCATGATCACGGATGTCTTTGTCCAGGAGCATGTCTCGCAGACCACCTGGGCTTGGGCCCCGCCACCACCACCACCCCCACCGACGGCTCTGTTATTTCCCGGCGGCATGACCCATCAGCCGGCACCGGCACCGGCTGCAGCCCCAATCGCAGCCCACTTGGGTCACATGGCCTATGTGCCCATGCCGAATGTCCAGTACTATGCAGCCAGTTCAGGTGAGAATCAATCAAGATTGAGCTTTTGCCATAAAAATCTTCTTTGATTTTGTTTAGCCTCGATGAACGCCTATGGCCAAGGTCAGGTGTATTCGGCCCGTGCCTCGACGAGCACTGCCGGCTACTATGCCCCACCCTATTATAATGGTGGCAGCAGCAGCAATGGTATCGGAGGAGCTGCTGTTCTCCTGCCCAACAAGCCGGCGACTTCATCCAGTGCCACCCAATCCCAGGCTCAGACGCCCTCGCCAACCAAGCGCACCTGTGATGTAGCCACTCAGGCGGACTTGCTGCCCGATGAAGGGAGTGAGATGGAAACGCTGCCAGCTTCCGATGAAGAAAAGTAAGTAAAACCTTGATTTTTAAGAATTTTCTATGAGTTTTTACAATAAATTTATGGACAAATATTATATAAATATTTTTTTAATTATAATCAATTTTTTTTTTTAATTTTTTAAATATTTATAATCATAATTCCCGTGATAATAAATCTTTTTTACATTAATTTTATCAGTTGTGTTGACAGCACCAATGGAAGTTGCTCAACATGTTCTTTAGCAACATTTTGAGTGTTGCTCAACATGTTCTTTAGCAACATTTTGAGTGTTGCTCAACATGTTCTTTAGCAACATTTTGTGTGTTGCTCAACATGTTTCTGGAAACATTTTCCTTGATTGAGACTTTCTTTCGATTTCTTTCGCTTTGCTCGGACCTTGGCTTTTTCGTTACCCTTTCGTTATGCCTTTTTCAGGAATCTCGACTCTAGTGACAGTTCCTTCGATAACTGCGGTGCCGGCGACGGATTTCGTGTCCACTCCAGCACCAAACGCAACTCCGAGGTGATGCTGCATCAGCAGCTTCTCCACGACATCACTACGATCTCGCTGCAGGGTTGCGAAATTGCCGAACGTGTGGCCAGTGTCCATCGCAACCGTCCGTGCTTCAAGAAGATCGACACGCTGTGCGGCCGCTTGAAGCAGGATCTTCTGCGTCCGGATGGCGTCCTGGCAAACATCAATTCCCAGGGCATTGCCTGGGCTGTCAAGGATTTCATATTTGTCTTTACGCGCATTGTGAATGCTTGGGTCATCATGAAGGGCTATGTTTATAACACGCCCGATGGCTTGAACAAGATCAAGGATGAGCTGCCAAGTGGATTTATGGCCACCTTTGATTCCTGGCAAAATGAAACACTGGCCCTGGTGGAGATGATCATAAAATCGTTTGTGAACCTGGATGACCTGCTCCTGAAGCAGAAGAATTCCTTTGTGAGCAAGGATCTCAGCCTGAATAATGCCAGCTCCATCTGGAGCTTCAACGATAGCAACGAGAGCACCGCGTCGTGCAAGAAAAACAATTGTATTATTGCTGGACAAGGACTAGGTCCAGCGGCCAGCAGCTCACCGATTCTACCCATTGGGGGAGCAGGAGGAGGAGCAGGTTTTAAAACTTTTCCCGAAAGCGAGGAGCAGCGTGTGGCCTCCACAAAGTCCTCTGCTCTCTACAAGCCCAAGTCCGGTGTGAGTCTCAACTATCTGTATACCATGATCGAGGATTCCGAGGAGACGCAGCGCAATGTGGACGCCAATGGCACTTATCTGAAAACTGGCACCTATCAGCCGCTGCAAAAAGAGATGTTGAAGCAAATTGAGATGCCGCAGGCTAGACATCAGCACCGAGAGCAACCCATCGAGACACAGTGGCCTTGGCAGGGTGCTCCATCAGCCACGCCAGCAGCAGCGCAGGGGATTCGCCAGGGAACTTGCCGCAAACATTTGGATCGTCATACCGATGCCAGGGGCTGCATTAATCCCTTTAGCCTGATCAAGCGGGATGTCACACGGCAGCTGTACGAGCTTAGTACTGGCATCATGGAGCTCCAGAACTTGGATCACTTTTTTCAAAAGCAGTTTACCCGTAACTATGTGAGTATCGTAAAATTAAATAATTTTAACTTACGTTTATTAATGTTTTAACTTTTATTTCCAGTACCCGGAATTCTTCCATCGCTGCCAGGACGACTTCATTGATATTCGCGCCATTGTCCTACAGTGCGAGAGTGCCTCCTATAACCATCTATATCATGCCATTCACGATCTGCGTCGCATCAACTTTGTGGTGCGATGCTACCTGCAGGTATTGATTGTATTAGTTTTTACAAGACATCAGCACACTGTTTTTTTTTTATATTCTTGTTTTTATTTTTGTATTTCCATAATTATCCTTCTGCTGCTTTTTTAGATCAAGGAGCCAGCCAAGTCAAGGTATCAGTATGAGTGGGCCATTTAAATGGACTAATGCACTAATCACTGGTCACCATTTGGGCACTAATCTCATATATTAACACCCAGAGCTTACAAAAGAACTCTTATTTGTAAACTCCATCATTTCACCCATTAACTAAGCATAACTCTCCCTACATTTCCACCCAAAACTAACAAAAATCTTTTTACTAACCCAAAACTAATATCCCAGATATATGCGGACGTTAAACTGCTGGCGTACATTGAACTATACGACAAATCTGTGAATGAATTGCTGTCCAAGCCACCGCACAAGCCCAATCAATACGATCATATCGAGGGCCGACCCGGCGAGAAGCTATTCAACTATCAAATATAAGACAGGTGTTCTTTGTTACCTTTTAAAGTTTCTAGTCAATGAAAATCAATTGTTGAAGCCATTATCATGTTGTTAACTCTTAGAAAATAGAAAGAATGCCTCTTAATATGTAATTTAATATTATATTTCAATTTGTAACCACATTTCACATTTCGCCTTTCGTTTTGCACTACAAAAATAGAATAATTAGTAATTAACTATGTTTTTTTTAGTCAGGTTAGGAACACAAATATATAATACAAAATTATAGATAAAAAAACAATAAATAAAATCGTACAATTAGACTTATTTACAAGGTTTCCATACATCATTTGCTTTTATTACTAATTCGCACTAGAAAACTCCTCTGGATTTATGTCCTGAGCCAAGAGCATGCCATGGAAAATGCTTGAGCTATTGGAGGCCAAGTCCTGCGGTCTGCCCTCCTCACAAATCCTGCCATCATCCAGGACCAGAATCCTATCCATGGCCTGGAGACCACGCAGCCGATGGGCTATGAACAGCAGAGTGCAACTCTTGAAGGCATTTCTCAGGGCCTGCTGCATGCTCAAATCGGATTCGTCGTCCAAATTGGAAGTGCCCTCATCGATGGCCACCACCTTGGCATTTTTCAGCAAAGCCCGGGCCAGGCAGAGGAGTTGCCTTTGCCCCGCCGATAAGTTATTGCCGCACTGCTCCACCTTGCCATCCAGACCGCCTAGTTGCTGAACGAGCAGAGTGGCAGCTGCCGAGTTTTTGATGGCATGCCAGATCTCCGAATCATAGAAGGCATGCCTAGGATCCAGGTTCTCACGAACAGAGCCTGGAAAGGATAAAACAAGATATTATAAAAGAGTTTGCCAGGTTTAACCCCGACTTACCTTCAAAGAGAAACGGCTCTTGGGTGATCACTCCTATCCTTTCCCTTAGCACATTCAACGCCAGAGTCTTCAGATTCACCTGATCTAACCTAATATCGCCCTGGGACAAGGGTGCCACCCGCAGGAGGGCAGCCAAAACCGACGTCTTGCCCGCTCCCGTGCGTCCCACAATCCCAACCCTCTCGAAGGCCTCAGTTTGGAAGGTCACACCCCTCAGGGCTGGCGCCAAGTGTTCCCGGTAGCTCAGTTGGACTTCGCGGAAACTCAAAACCCCTTGGGTGGGCCAACCAAAAGGTGGATCAGCACTGCCTTCCGCATTCTGCTCTCCTTCCAATTGTAGATATTGATCTATACGCTCCACTGCCACCAGCTCCTGCTCTGTCTCGGCCACGGCGTGGAGAAGATCTCCCAATTGTCCAGTTATGGACAAGGCATAGGAGATGCACAGCCCCACCAGACCGGGATTGGTTGCATGCGAAGCTGTTATGGCGGCCAAGAGACCGGCTCCACCCACCAATAGGGTTCCCAGCAACTGGAGACGCAAGGCCAGCCATTGCTGAGCCGCTGATTGTGTCAACTGCGCCTTGATGCTCTCCTCCAACTTCACCTGGAAGTCTCTTTGAAAGCGGGGACTGGCCCGCATGCTCCTTATGGTGGTCAAACCCTGGAGAGTCTCCGTGAAGTGAGTGTAAAGCGGCGACATGGCATTGCTCGACAGCCGCTTGATGTCCCTGGAGGCATGGCGATAACGCTGCTGCAGATTCAAGTAGATGGGCACCATGGGAATGATGATCAGGCCCAGCCAGGGCATGGCATACAAGCTGACGCAGAGGGCACCCACCAAACCGGCCAGTTGAGCCAGCAGAATGTTGAGTATAAAAGGCAGGGAATCGTCCACGGTGTTGGTGTCCGAGGAGAAGCGGTTGAGGATGCGACCCACCGAGGTGATGTCAAAGAAATTGAACTTGGCCTGAGGGAATAAAGATAATTTACTAAAAAATTACTCCAGAAAATGTAACTTTTATTACTCACAAACATGACTTTCTTTAGCAGATTTTCATGCATGAAAATGGCCGCCTTGATGCCTGCGTAGGCAAACAGAAAAGCTCGGGCCAGAGTCACCAGAGAATTGCTCAACGCAATGGCTGTAAAGATGCTTAAATAGAAGCCCGTGGTGTGACCCGAATCTGTGTCATTTCCCAGCTCAGGTCTCATCAACTGATGCTCCAAGGAAGTATCATTCGGATGTGGATCCAATGTGGTCTCTGTGACCCAATGTGCCAGCCAGGCATCACTCATATTCCGGGTCAGTTGCATTAGCAAAACAAAGAGCAGGACAGTGAAGGCCAAGGGAGAAGCCACTGCCTTCCAGTAGCAGGAGAAAACATTGCTTGAAAGATGACCATATTCCCGGGATTCCTCAAGGAGCAAGCTATCCACACTCTTCTTGTCATCTTGATTGGCCAGCTCCACCGATCGTGGCCGGCTTGCTAGCTCCCGATCTTCATCCTCCTCCAAGCTCAGGTCAATGCTCTGGGTCATGTATTCACTGGGCAGTAGGTGGCCATCCTTAACTTGAAGTATCTGATTGGCGTGGAAGAACAACTGAATGCTTCGGGTGACCACAATGCGGGTTTTGTGCTTGAGAAGTCGGAGAATGCAATGCTTAATGATATGACGGGCCACATGGGCATCGAGCGAGGAGAGCACATCGTCCAGGAGGTAGACTAGGGGGGATTAGGATGTTCTTGCTCTTAAATTTTTAATTATTTTTTATCTACTCACCCTTTTTATCCTGATAAACCGCCCTGGCCAGAGCCACTCTCGCCCGCTGACCGCCAGACAGGGTCCTGCCATTCTCGCCCACGCCTATTAGATCTCCGCCTAGGATCTGCAGATCCTCCTCCAGAGCACAGGCATGGAGTACTGTCTTGTACCACTGCTCGTCAAACTGTGCGCCCCACACGATATTATCTCGGATGGTGCCTCTCTGGAGCCACGGCGACTGTGGGACATAGCCAAAGCCCGTGGTTAACTCCTGGACGCACACCTCGCCATCGGTGCACTGCAGGTTGGCCACAATGGCCGAGAGAAAGGTGCTCTTGCCACCACCCACGGGTCCTTCGATGCATATCAGCTGACCCGCCTTAATATCCACATTGATGTCCTTCAGGCGGAAGGCAGACGCTTCAGAGTTCTCTTCGTGGGTAAAGCTGGCGCACTTCATCTGCAACACACTGGCCCTGGGCGCATCCAAGGGAGCATCTTCTAGGTCTCCAGAACCCAAAACACCGCCACTTCCACGCATGATGGGATTGTAATACGAGGAGTAGTCCAAATTGGGCACATCCATGAGCTGCTGGACTCTCTTGATGGAAACCCAGGCCTCGATTAAGCCATTGAGCACCCAGGGAAAGGCATTCAGAGGACCAATGAGCATGTAAAGCAAGGCCACACTGGTGTAGGTCGTGGAGGCTATCAGGGGATTACCCATGAGCACGGACACACCAAAGGTAAGCAGGCACATCAGCACGGGTGTGGTGGCCCAGAAGTAAACGCACATGGCATCCAGGTACTTCCTCTTCGAGAGGAATCTTAGCTCCTCCTGACGCAGTCCTCGTATCTTGGTTATAAATATATCCTCCCAGGCATTGATCTTGATCTGCTTGGCTCCCTGCATGGTCTCTGTGGTGGCCGACAGCCTGGCATCCTTGGCCGTCATCAGACCACTCGAGTAGATGCCAATCCTCTTGGCCAGCCACCTGTTGATGGGTATGAGCAGGGCGGCAAAGAGCACGCCGGCCAGGAAGGCAGCTCCCAATTGCAGGTAAAGCAGGTACAGCGTGGTAAATAGCTTGAAGGGAATGCTCCAGAAGAAGTGGAAACTGATGCACGAGTTCACAATCCTGTCCGTGTCCGTGGACATGAGATTTAGCATGTCCGGCCTGGAGTCCTTGATGACCCTCGCCTCCAAGGCCTTTCGGTAAATGGAGTTCACCACTCCCACGCGCATCTTCATGGAAACCATGGCCATGCGCCAATCAAAGTGCGTGGAACATAAGGCTGACAGCAGGGTGCTCCCAAAGAGTCCCAAGGCGTAGTAGTAAACTTCATTGGAGTCCGTGTGATCCTGTCGCAGAAGTCCTCCCAGCAGCAGGGGCCCGGCAAAGCCACTTAAATCCGCAATCAGTCTTAAGACTCCAATCAGGTAGAACTCCACGCCAAAGCAGCGATGTAAGGCTCTCCACAAGCTCTGGGACTGCGACAGGGCCAAGTGTAGACGCTCACTTAACCGCGTGATATTCAAGGCCTCTGGCAGATCAAACAGATCCTCGATTTTTCTCAACTTTCCAGCCACTCCCTTGGCTATCAGGGGATACACCCAGTGGAAGAGGAAGCGGGATCCCACATTAGCTTCATCCTGGGCATGCCCCAAGTGACCTTCGTTCAGATCAAAGTGGAAGTAAGTATAGCGCTGGGACAGAAGCGCCTCATCTTCGCCGCTGGTAACTCCTCCTCGCGGCATACTGGAGTATACAGCGCTACCCTTGGGTATTAGAGAGGCTCCAAATAGAAGGTCACACACTAGCGTGGCCAAACTCCAGGGCCACCAGGCAAAGTGGCGACTTGTACGCAACCAGACGCCATCCAGAACCACAACAGTGAGCCAGACCACATTGATTAGCAGCGAGCCACGGTGACTAAGCTCACCATATTGACGGGCAGTCAAGAGGAAACCTATATGAAAGGAAGGCCAGGGAAATCAGTTGATAAAGTCAGGGAATGAGTAGTTTTAATTAGTTGTTAGCAGGAGAAACGGGGTTTTCTATATAAACTTATAAGGGTTTTCTTTGGATCAATGATTGTTATTTAAAGTGTAAAAAGCGCTCATCTTGGTAGGAATTTCAAGCTGCAAATGTTGTTTCGCTTATGTTCAACTGTTATTTTAGAGTTTTTCTTGTTTTTATTAAAAAAGACAACGTATTTGCTTTCATTATTTGTTCAGCAAAAAGGTGGATCAATAAAGGCAAGTCTTTAAATGTTATTTCTGCTTATCGGTGACTCTTCATTGAGCTTTAAAATATATAAAGAAGCCTAATTGACTTTTAAAAACGTATCGAAAACTGGATTAATTCAAATGAAATCGAAATCCCTGAAAGTGAAAGCCGGAAAGTGCCCCATGAAATCAATACAAGGCCAGGAAAACCGCAGCAACACTCACCGCTATGAACGACCCACATAATACACTCGGCACAGGCCACCAGCACATCCGCCGCATGCAGTTCAATGCCCGCCCGCTGGAAGGCGAACACCTTGGCCACCGGCAGCAGGGCCAGCACAATGGCCAGGAATGTGCGCAGCCACAGCATACGCAGCTGCAGGGCATTCCGGATGACAGGCCTTGACTGATTGCCGAAATTGTAGGCGGATATGGCTGCAAAGACCGTGTACACCGGCAGCTGGAGCAGGATCTCCTGGAAGCAGGGCAGCAAATCGTTCGTATCGTTGGCAAACGGCTTCAATCCCGTGGGACAGAACTCCGTCCAGTTCCAGGCAAAGTCGCTCCACGACATCTTTGGCTCGTAGGCGGGCGGGGATTCCTTTCTTTGGTTTAATTGCGATCAATTAGTCATCGCCGTCGCTGGCTGCACATTTGCACCACCGAGTGGCGTTTATGCGCGGGTTGTAGTTGGTTGTGGACAGCGATAAACACACTACTGATAAAGATTCGTTGTGAAAATAAGCAGCCGCTTTATGGTTTGTGAGGGCTGCCAACTTGCTTCAAAGTGATGATGAAACTCAGCCGGTAGGCGTTCCCGTTAGCGAAATCTCTCCAAATTCTCCAAAATGCAAAAATTGAACACATGAAACACGTAAAAACTTGCATAAATTTAAAAATGATTGCAAAAAATAAATAAGAACATGGTACTTAAATATTATAGCAAATCAAAATGGTTTAATAATCATAAAAAAGTCTTCAAACTAAAATAAGTTAGAAATCTCCAAATTAATTGCTAAATGGAAGCATTAGATGGACTACCGGAGCTGCCAACTTGTTTCAAAGCAAGAAGAAGCATTTGTTTACATTTTCATTTCACACAATTTCCAAACCGTGTTTAAACAATTATGACAACTGGAGGCGAAGCTGAAGAAGGGGACGAAAGCCAGGGCAATGTTAGCACCTGCCAAAACCCCGAATTACCCGCAGAGCTAACAGACATCTTCAAATCCCTGGCTGAAAACCAGAACATCGTCTTTAAATCACAGCAAATCGATGATCCAGAAATTCCCATTGCGGAGAAGCAACAAATCGCACGGGAATCCTTTGAAAAGAACCGGGAAACCTTCCTCATACGATTTGGTGGCTACCTGAATGTCCGCCAACTAAGTTCTTTCCAGGAACTGGCTGTCAGAGAGCCCCATAAGCCGGATGAAAGCCTCGAGGAGATGTGTCTGCTGCTGGAGGATTTCAAAAGGAAGCTGAGCACACGATCGGTGTGCATTAAGAACAGGAGATACCAAGCCATGCAGCAGCTGCTGGAGAAGGGGGAATACTTCAGCGAGCACGAAATGATGCAAAGGGCGCCAGATCTTTACCAGGACTTGGTGGGTCAATACCTAACCGAGGCGGAGAAGAAGGAGCGGGATAGCTACGATGTGAGGAACACCAGCTTCTCGGGCATACTAATGCACTCCCTGGAGAAGCAGCAGAGGGATGAGTTGCTGGCAGAGACGCAACAGGAAAAGGTGGAGGAGGAGGTCACTAGTGCTCCTGTTCCTTCTGCTCTGCCAGAATTTGAAGTCCCCTTGGCCTGTCGCAAGCAATGGGGCGCCTTTGACGATGATGAGCCCATTGCCTGCTCCACAAGTCGCGTGGCCGAAGCTCGTCCGCCAGCAAAAATAGAGCAAATCTCCACCCCGGAGTTCTATAATCCCGGAGAGCGAAAACTGTTGCGACATGAGTTTCTCAGCATGATGAAGGAACGCTTTTTGGGAGGAGAAGAAAAGGACTTTGATTATACAGCCGTCGATGACAATGCCCAGCTGGATGATCTTAAGCAAATCGAACAAGATGAGGAGGATGCTTACTTTAAGGACAGTGACGATGAAGAGGAGTTGCCGGAGCAGGCCAACGAGTCGAAGGAGTCCAGCGAGGAGGATGAGCTGGATATTTATATGCGACATCTCAGCAATCATCATAGTTTGCAAAATTAAATATATATTTTATAAGAAGTGTACAGACTTTAAATTTAACTAAAAACCATAGAAGGAGCTCCCAAAAGATCCTTTAAAAAGGAATTAAGACAACCAAAACTTGCAGCAAATATAGTCTTTAATCTTAATCTAATCCCTTAACAAATCTTGATCTTAGACACTAGAATACATGCAAAAATGTTGCTGATGCTGGGAGTTAAAAATGAGACAGTGCTGGCTATCTAGGCCTGCCACGGCCACGTGGAAAGCCGCGTCCTCGCCCCCTTAGCACCTTGCTATTCGGCGGCGGACTCTTGGGCCTCAGCAGCTCAATCCGGCTGGTGCAACCGGTGGCCGGGGCCTCCGCAAAGTACGTTTGATAGACCTCTGCATTGAAATTGGAGTTGGTCAGCTCTGGTCCAAGGGTCAACCATCCTGGTCGGATGCTGGAATCCCGGCCAAACAGATGCAGGCGTCGGCGGCCCAGACAAAAATGCTCGATGATGTGAAAGATCTCGATGGGTTTCTCGAAGCTACCAAACTCCTCCTCCTCCGAAATGATCAAATCAATGTCCACATTGGCATGGATGAAATCCCCGTCGGTGGAGCGGCGTACAGTGCCCTTGATGCCCATCAGGCAGTGTTCCTTGGTGCGCTGAAAGACAGCCTTCGGTTCGAGCTGCTTGGAGTGGCCGGGCTTGTTGATATTGGTGCGTATCCAGCAAATATCCTCGCATCGACGGAAGCCCCACTTTTTCAGGCAGTTGCGACCCATGTCCAGGCCCTCCGAGGAGCCGCACCAAAGGAACACAAAGGAGCGATGAGCGGCTATCTCACCCACATCCAAATCTGGCAGAAAAGATACAATTACAAGCTTGGGATTGATGTATATAAGAGCCAACTTACTAAGTATATCATCCCAGTTCCAGAAGACGCGTGGTGCTCCTCCAACGGTGGCCACCGAGGGCGCTGCCCTTGCATACTCCTCCAGCGGTGGCTCAATCAGGATCACATCGAACTTGGTGCCCAGGGTCTTGAACTCCAGCGTCTTTAGATCCGCCTTCAGATACATGGGAGCAGAAGCCGTGTCCTGGATCAGTTTATCCTTCAGCTTGATGAGTTCCCTCAGCTTGGGGTACTCCTCGAAGCGATCGGCCAGGCCCACGTCACGGATAAAGTTCTGGGGACGCTGTCCCGTGTCCACAAAGTGCTGGCAGTAGTCGTTGTGCGGATTGGAAGACTGTGTTCCCTTCAGGAACGTGGATGAGTCCCTGTAAATGATTTCATTGGGAGTTTTCTTCGAGGACGAAGCGCCGCCATCCTCCTCCTCCCGCTGGCCGCTGGGATTCAGCTGGCGACTGTTGTTCGTGTCTTCCGCATTGCCCAGGACCTTCTTCAGCTCATCCACGCTGGACAGCCCAAACTGCATAATGATGAATACACAATAAACATGCTTTAAATTGTTTAAATCATTGTTTTCATTGCCAGGATGCTTACAGTTTGCGCTAAAAGCAAGCGCCGCTTGCGGGATCGCTCCTGGGAGTTCTTCAGCACATCGCTCATGGTCAATTTTGGTATAAAAACGGTTTAAAATCCCTAAAATAGTGTAATTTTTACGAAAAACTCTTAAATTAAAATAAAGACAACTAAAATTTGCCGTCTAGCGATGGTAAACTAGTAATGGCGGCTATCGATAACAACTATAGTTTGGGAATTATTTTGGAAAAATAATTTATTTGTAGTAGTTTTTCTTTTGAAAGTTTATTGAAGTTACCTTTTTTTTAAACTTTAAGTTGCCTTTTCTTAAAAAGACGTCTAGTTTGACTGGAAATACCTATTTAATGCCTTTATTTAATAACTAAAATTTATTCGAAAGAAAACCTTCTCAACTATCGATAGACTTTTTCTCCCCATCGCTAAGGAACGCCATTCACAGTAAACTCACAGTGACGTTGCCACTCACAATCAACTGCATGCGCCGCCGGAAGATTTTTCGCTGCAATTAAGCGTTAAATTTAGTGAAATAGTTTAAACTTGAAACGAATCGGGCCGCAGGATGAAGCTGGTGCACAAGACGCTGCTCAGCGCACTGCTGTTAGTGGCGATCTTTGCGGTCTACACCGCCGCTCAGACCAGATCTAAGGTTTGTTTTTGGTGGCCACGTCACTTTTCCTGGGTGCCGGCTTGGAGGTAATCCATCGTGTTTCTATTATCTTCCTTCAGACGGGCTTGTCGCTGTCGGAGAAAGTACAAAACCTGGTGGACATGAACATGAAGAAGCCGCTGCTCCGCTTTAATGGCCCCAAGTTCCGCGAGTATGTGAAGAGTGCTCCGAAAAACTACTCCATGGTGGTGATGCTGACGGCGCTGGCGCCATCGCGTCAATGCCAGATCTGTAGGCATGCCCACGACGAGTTCGCCATTGTGGCCAACTCGTATCGCTTCTCCTCGATCTACTCCAACAAGCTGTTCTTCGCCATGGTGGACTTCGATGAGGGCTCTGAGGTGTTCCAGCTGCTGCGCCTGAACACCGCCCCTGTTTTTATGCATTTCCCGGCCAAGGGCAAGCCGAAGGGAGCGGATACCATGGACATTCATCGCGTTGGCTTTGCCGCCGATTCCATTGCCAAGTTTGTGGCGGAACGCACGGATATTACCATTCGTATTTTCCGTCCTCCCAATTACTCGGGAACGGTGGCCATGATCACTCTGCTGGCCTTGGTTGGCAGCTTCCTCTACATTCGGCGGAATAACCTGGAGTTTCTGTACAATAAGAACCTTTGGGGCGCCATTGCGGTGTTGTTCTGCTTTGCCATGATCTCGGGCCAGATGTGGAATCACATTCGTGGACCGCCGCTGGTGCACAAGTCGCAGAACGGGGGCGTGGCCTATATCCATGGTTCCTCGCAGGGACAGCTGGTGGTGGAGACGTACATTGTCATGTTTTTGAGTAAGTTTTGCTGCTTTTAAATCTTTTTAAAATTGTTTTAATTGGGTTTTCCATTTTCGCAGACGCCATGATTGTCCTGGGCATGATTCTCCTTATCGAATCGGGCACACCAAAGAGTCACAACAAGAACAGGATTATGGCCATGACGGGTCTGGTGCTGCTCACCGTATTCTTCTCCTTCCTGCTGTCTGTATTCCGGTCCAAAGCGCAGGGTTATCCCTATAGGTGAGTTAAGCCTTTACTTTTCATGGCACTTCTTAATCCTTGTAATCCTCCCTCTCCTTGCAGTTTCTTGTTCAAATAGACTGCAGCAGGACCTGTTTCCCCCCCGCGTAATGTATCGTTCTTTGTAGTTAAAAATCACCCAGCAGAGCGTGTAAAAACGACTTTAATAAAAAATTCCACTACTAAATTATTTTGTATACAAAAAATGCGAAAAAGTCTTTAGAGCAGGAACGGAATGATGGCACGTCGGTTCTTTGGATAGTCCCTGAAAGTCTCCCTGTACCACTTGTGGGTGAGCAGAGCATTGATCGTTTGATTGCTGGCCACCCACAGGAAGATGAGGCGCCAGATCCGCACCGGCATGTACAAATCGGCGATGCAGAAGTACATCACCACCTCGAGGAACATGTGCGGCGAGGACAAGAGTTGGAAGAGTCCACCCTTGGGCAGCAGATGCTTCTCCGTTTTGACGCTACCCGTACGGGGGTCCTTCCGCAGGTTGACCAGGATTATGTTGCTGGCATATTGCTGCTGCCAGGCGGCGGTGAACACAACCAGGTAGAGTATCTGCTGGCCCGTTAGTTTGTCCAGGGCAAATTCCATGGGCCGAGTGCCGCGCACAAAGCCCGAGGTGTTGGATAACAGGGCAATGATGGCCCCAAAGTAATGGACATAGCCCACCACATAGTGGCTCAGGTTGATCTTGCTATGACTGGAGAAGATCTGCACAAAGCTGGTTTCGTAGAAGCGGCGGGTGCACTGCAGCGTCAGCATAAAAGCGCCCACACAGGCCGTTGTCGAGTCGATCTCCACCTTCCGATGGCTCCGGCCGCCGCCCATAAAGTCCAGGAAGCGAAGGACATACTCGGGAGCCTCGCGCTGATCCCTCACCGTCGACACCAGCAGGAAGAAGCCCAGCCAGCTCCAGACCACAGCGAAGATGTAAAAGTGCTTGAACCAGGACTTGGGCACCTCCAGCCAGGCCACCAAAGGATCCGTTTCGCCCTTGAAGCTGTGCTTGCCGTACCGAAAGGATTGCCGGATGCTATTCGGTAGGTACTTCTCCAGGAATGTCATCAGGCCGCCAAAGAAGACGATCGTGGCGATGAAGGTGCCGAATATCATCTGCAGCAGGTTGATCTTGTGCCGATCGATTAGGTTTTCAAAGAACTCCATGGTTCCAAAGTTGGCGAGCGCCATTGCGAAAATTCTCGAGTCGATGCAGCGCGGAAAAACGGTAAAAACTTTCTCCGGCCGAAAACTTGCGGATGTTCATTCTGGCCGCTGCCAGGGTTGCCAGGGTGCGCGAGGCCGGCTTTAAAGGGTTGCAACCGTTATCTAAGCTCTATTGGACCTTTAGCTTGCCTATCGAACCCAGCTTAATCGATAACTTGGGCGGGCTTTTTCGTAAAAAACAATCCTTTATTTATTTGCCTTTAATAATTCAAAGAGCATCTTAAATTGGCTACAGTTTCATGCTTGCATATGCATATATATAAATTGATAATTACGATATGGCTTGTCTATGTTTCGGCAGGTGTAAGTATTTTTTTTAATGCAATTGTGATAACGCTCCTCGTCTATATTGCTTATTGTTAATATTCCAACGCTTCAGATCCAAATTTGCCTGCTGTTTTTAGCAGTAGAGGACACGAGGGGATGTTTGTCAAATATCCACACCATTCCGGCCTAAAGTGCCGCCCTTGTAAGGAGGAGGCTTGGGGCGAGCATAAATGCTAGAGGTGCCACAGTCCAACTGATAAAAGCTGTTGTTGGGACTGCAATGTATCGAAAATATGTTTAAAAGGGGTTTTTATATAGTAAATAATAATAGCTCACCTCTGAGATCGCATACTGATATTATCCAGAAGGAAATTTGGATCTTTCAGGCTCTTCAAGGTGGTTATGGGTTGATTGGATTTGCTATCCGAGCACTGGACCATCTGAACCGTCGAGGACATGGGATAATCCAAGTTTGAAGAGCTAAAAAACACACATATTTAACAAGAAAATTGCACATAGTTTCTGTAAAGTAAAAACTCAATAAATAACTTGGAAAATCACCTCTCAGAACCATCATCCGGATCAGAATCGCTTGACGCGCTGGGCGCACAGGACTCTTCGCAGATGTGGAAAATGTTGGCAAAGAAAAACTCAGAATGCGGATCGGAACTAAAGACCAAAAAAGAAACAAGAAATTTATAAACAAAAGAAAAATTATAACCCACTAATCTCGGGACTTTTCCCACTCACAACTTCTCGTGCTGGAAACACAACACCGCCGACAGCATTCCTATTAAGATGGCAAAGATCATGCCTGGAATGGCAAAGGCAAAGGCAAACTCATCGATGTAATTCCGCACGGGCACATCCTCCCTTGAGATTCCCATCCAGCGATCCTGCTGCTCCTGCCTGGGTTGCTCCTCTGCCGCCTGCTGCTCATTCTGCTTGCCGCTGTGGTAGAGAATCTCCGTGGGGGATTCCACGCCCACCATTCGAAAGGCACACCAGTCCAGCTTGAAGCCCACATTCTCAAAGATTTTCTGGACGGAGGTGCGCTTATAGGTGCAGGATGGAAGTTTATACAGAGGACGCACTTCCTCCTGGAGCTCCTTTAGACGGGGTGAGAACTGGGCAAAGCTGCCTACATGAACAATGACTCTGAAAGATATTAAAATATTAATTTGTTTATAAAATAGTAACTTTTTTGCCACACCCACCCCTCACGTTGCTGCGGACGCAGAGGTAAGCGTCCTCCCATATTCACAGCCGATTCCATAAAGACCACACTCAAGTCCTCTTTGCTGTTTGGCCACAGATCCTTTCGGAATATATTGCGCAGATTCTCCACCCGCCCAGGATCCATTAGATGCACCCAGTTCAAGTTGTCGATCTTCATCTGGACGACATTTGGTGTGGGAAACTTGTGGGCCACGAACATGGCTAACACAATGCGACGAGTTTCGTAATTCTGGCGATTTAAGGCCACCACATCCAGGCTGATATCCTTGCCAGCCGCTGATTCCGGCGGTGTGCCGTACAGGAACCCGGCATGGTACTCATGGCTATACATATATCGCATCCAACTGGGCAGATCTGGATAGTTCATCAGCGAGGGACGATAGCGAAACTGTTCGCTGATGACCTGATGTGTCCAATTGAAGAGCTGCGGCTCGATTTTGTACGTGAAGAGCTCCCCCACACTGGCCTGCAGTTTAGTGGCCGCCGCCTCCTGGCTCCACATTAAGGCCAAGATGGGCAGTATAAAGCTTAACCGATTCATTTTAATTTTAATTTCCTGCCTTCGATTCACAAGCACATTTTTAATTGACAATAAACAAGTACTAAATCCGCCTAGAAAGACACGAAAAATTCCGATGGTGTGTATCCAATTGAGAGAGGTAAAGAGATGTGAGATTTTTGAGATGTTTTCCCCCAAAAAATATTTTGTTTTTATTTAAAAAGAGAGCGCCTGCGCATTGGGGTTTCATAATAAAAAACACCTGTGACTAAGGTCAGTTTTGGGACTAAGAAATTGGTTATTAGGAAATTTTTTTTTGTTTAATATTTTCTTATTTATTTAATTATAATTTTTTAAAAATAATAATTAAAAAGATTAATGAGTAATTATTAATTTCAAATTTAACGTTTTATTTTACTATTTCGATAGCTGTATTTATCGATAATTTCTTACCACAATAAACTGAGTCCCATCGCTAGTTGAGCGACAACCCTAATCAGCTGCCGCCTGGCAAATTTCGGGCTAAAATTCTTGGAAACCAATACGTGGCTACCGCCGTATCTCGCACAAATTGGAAGAAGGAATGTCTGCTGACGACAGGTAGCAGCAGCAGCAGCAGATGCACCTGTTTAATTAAGCGGCCAACCCCTTAAAAAACAAGCCAGACGATGTTTCCCTGCCTGTGCCAGCTATGTTTCTATCTGCTCTCCGCGATTGCAGTTGCGGTTCTGCTGGTGAGTTCTCCTGGGTAAACACACGTAAATCATTATCACTATTGATAACCGGACTATACACAGGTTGTGGCGCTGGTTTTGTACAAAACCAAGCCCTATCCCAACATCAAGAGGCACAAGGATGAAGAGACATTCCTAGATCCGCGGAGCATCAAGACAGTCGCATTTCCCAGCCTTGAGGAGTCGCCCAGTTTGGAGCTCAGTGTCATAGTGCCAGCTTACAATGAGGAGCTGCGTTGTAAGTTGCCTTTTATGGTTGAAGTTTAGTTTATCGCGTTTTTGTGATCAATCATACACAGTCAAGCCTCGATTTATAATGATGTTAAAGGAAGTTTGCCTGTAATTACCTTATTTCTACATGAGTAATCCATCACATGATTCGTATTATTTCCAGTGCCTGCCATGTTGGACGAGTGCCTGGCCTTTCTCGAACAGAAATCCGCAGGGAATCCCAGTTTCACCTACGAAGTGATTGTGGTGAGCGATGGCAGTCAGGATGCCACCGTCTCCGTGGCTTTGCGGTACTCCAAAAAGCATGGAGCCGAGAAGGTTCGTGTCCTCGAACTCATCGAGAATCGCGGAAAAGGTGGTGCCGTACGCATGGGTGTCCTGAGTGCCCGCGGACGTCATCTCCTGTTCGCCGATGCGGATGGAGCCACCAAGTTTCCAGACTACGACAAGTTGGAGGAGGCGTTAAAGCAACTGGCGCCGGAGTGGCAAGAGGATGGCATTGCCATTGGATCGAGAGCGCATCTGGAGAATGATGCAATTGCCACGAGGAGTTTCTTTAGGTATTTTATCATTATTTTAAAGGCTTACTGAGAGAGTAGAGCTAATTTCCTCTTGAATTCGCAGAACCATCTTAATGCATGGCTTCCATTTCCTGGTCTGGCTCTTTGCCGTTCGCTCCATCCGCGATACCCAGTGTGGCTTCAAGCTGTTTACCCGCTCAACGGCCAGGAAACTCTTCACCAGCCTCCATGTGGAACGCTGGGCCTTCGATGTGGAGCTTCTGTTCCTCGCCGAGCGCTTGAAGGTGCCCATGTCGGAGGTTGCCGTCCGCTGGACGGAGATCGATGGCTCGAAACTTACGCCGTTCTGGTCCTGGCTGCAAATGGGCACCGATTTGGGGATGATTTGGCTGCGTTATTTGGTGGGCGCCTGGAGGATAGCCGCCATCCAGAAGAAGGAGAACTGATGGGGAATCTCATTTCCCGTTTCCGACAAGCATTTTTTTGCATTACCAAAACTCTAAAATGATTTCTGAATACTATTTTTGTGTAGGCCTTAAAAGAGTGTAGTTAAGTACGCAGTATTTGTTCTAATAAACTAAAAGAAAGTAAATTAAATTGCACATCATTGCATTATTTTAGTTCAATATATTCAATTTTAAATTAAAAATTACAATATTTAGCATAGGTTATTTGATTAATTTTTTGAATTTAGTGGCATTTTTTAGTCTTAAATCTCCGCTGTTTGAGATTTTTTAGGGAAAAAGCCACATTTTCATGTGGCAACCTTCGTAAAGCCCACATTTCATCTGGCAACACTGGACACACTGGCTGCGGCGGCGCGTTTTGTTCGGATTTCCTTAAAAAAAAACGCGAAATAATAAAGTTAATTATAATCAGCCAAACGCCGACAGTAGCCGCGATAGCTGGCACTTGAACAAACAAGAGAAAAGTGCTTCCTTTAAGTCGTAAAGGCGTGAAAGTGCAACTGGGAGAAAAGTTCCAGGAATTCCTGCGCCTGTTGCTCTGTACGCCGCGCGGGTGTCTCGGTGTGCGTATTGGTGTGCGCTCAGCTGTGCCTGCTGCGCGGCGGTATATTGTTTATAAAGTGTTTTTTTTCGCAGTTTGCAAATGCTGAACAAGCCGGGCGGTTGATTTTTTATATTTCGCGTCGTCGTCGTCGCCGCGCAAACGAAAGTGATTTGTTGTTGCTTACTACAAAGTCCCGCTATTCTCCAATTCTCCAATTTGGGGCTTGTTGTTAGTGCGATCTCCATCGTTGTGGTTGTTGTTGTAATGCGGTCGGGTCATTGCTTCAAATTGCTTAATCAACGGCACTTGTGGTAAGCGCGAACTGGCACAGTTATCAATTTGATTCCCTTTTATTTTATTCTCTCCTCTCCCTCTCTCTTTGGTCCCTTGTTGCGCTATCGAATTTCGCCGTTTGTTCTTTGTTTTATCAGCATTTTTTGTATTGCCTTGCAAGCTGCGCTTGAAAAACTATTGGGATTTATCGCTTTGTTTGAGCTGATAAGAAAGAGAGGGGACACCGAAAAGAGGGAGAATGGGGACATAGGGAGAGTGGAAAATATATCAAAGCAGAGGGTTTCTAACTATGGGTTTATAATTGATTTTATTCAATTTTTGGAGATAATTTTTAAATTATATTACAAATAAATAAAACTAACCCCTAAGACGTAATTTTGTGTGGCATAAGCTAGATTTTTAATGCAGCTGATAAGAACACGGAAATGCAATGTTTCTAATCAGCATAAAGTGCGATTACATGTGTAATTCCAATTGGACCCACAGATTATATTTGTTTTCATAAAAATAATGAAATAAATTTATAATTACTTAAATATCTGAATTAAATGAATTAAAAATTCATTAATTAACAAACAAACAAATAGAACTGACAAAAAACCAACCAAACGCTTTCCAATTGTCTCGAAATTCTTGCTAAGGTCACAGATTCTTCTTCTCTCCCTCTCCCACTCTTCTTAGCATCGCAAAACGCGACTAGAAAAAAAGCTGCGACAATAAACAAAAAATTAAATGGCAAAGAAGAATACAAACTAAGCGCGACCGAAGAGCATTTGCGTGGCGAAATTCAAAGTCAAAAACGAGTTGCCAGGCCACGCCCGCTATATGTGCATATATATCCGTATATATATCCGTACAAGTGTGTGGACGCTCCTCCGAAAAGATTTATGTACACATTGCGCCTTCTGCCTTTTTCCGCCATCCTTTTCCTCCTTTTTTCCAAGCATTACTTATGGCCATGCGCAGGGAGCTCGTCGAGATTCTCTACTCTCCGCCTCTCTTTTGTGGCGGCTCTGCTTGATTAAAGAGGGCGGGAGGAGGTGGGGGTGGGCAGGCAGTTGTTGTAGTTGTCGCCTTTGTTTTGTTTTCGTTTCGTTTATTTCCATGCGGGACAGACGTGTTAGTGCATGTTCAGGATCAGGAGTGGAGTTAGGGATCAGCAGGAAATGAATTATAGAAATCTAAGAAATTTACAAAATAAATACATTTTTAGAAATAAAATATTTCTTAAATATTAAATTTTTCATTGTAAAAAAATCCATATTATTTTCCTGATTAATGGGGGTTTTGTGAGCTCGTAAAAGCCAAACAATAAATCAATTATTCAGGTTTTATTTTATATAACCCAATATATTTAAGCCCTAAAATGTCCCGCACTTCGCTCCTGTGGAGTTTTGCCGCCTCTTGTTAGCTTTCGGTGAAGTGTGATAATTCCTGCGCCTTATAGTTGTCTCTTCGCTTCGCTTACGTTGTGTTCGCCACAAGAAAAGGAAGAAGAGCCGGAGAAGGAAGGAGAACCAGAAAGGGAAACGGAATATCCCGCCTTGGAGGCTAATCCTTTAATCCGCTCTGTGCACTGCAGCGACTTCAAGGTCAGCGAGTGATCACTGTATATAGTATACTTAAACGTCTCCTCTCTAGTCCGAGGGGGCTAATTAATTGTCCGTTTAATCGTTCGATTTGCTGCAAGACTCGTCTGTCCACTCTTCTCGCTCTCCAGACAAGTCTCTGGCTCTAGTCTCTATATGTATCTGATGGATGTCAGCCGCAACGCCCACGGCAATTAGTCAGCCAGGTAACTCCCGGTGATCCAATGCTCCAATGGCTGAATGGCTTTAATCTTTCAAAGGTTCATTGGCTCGAGGGCGCTCCAAAAGATTCGCACGCCCACGCCCCCTACCGAAAGCTGATTTATGACCTTGTCTTCGGCGTGTGTTGTAACCAATTTCTTTTGCTTTGTTGTTGTGTGTTTGTGCTTCTAATTTTAACCCATCACTTGTGACGCATTGGAAAAATGGCTCATAAAATTATTCCGAATCACTTTTCGCAGTATTTGCTGAAGAGTTTATTTTAAATGGTTGATATACACTAAAGATTTTTTTGTTATTCTTAGGGCTATAAAAAATATTTAAAAACAAATCTTTATATAGAATTTTTTTGTTTTCTTCTAATACCTAAATATTTATTAGTATTTAAGAGTCCCATAAATTAAAAGCTATTAAAAAAGCGCAACTATTGCTATTAAATTATGTGATTAAATATTTTCAAAGCATAGGTTAATAAAATATCTACTTGGTAAGGGGATTTATAAATCGGTTTATGATTTATATGTATATCCATATAATTTTTTGTGTATATAAATAAAATGTTATGTTTTTTAAATCAAATTTTATCGCTGATTTAAACCCACGGAAAGCTCTTTAAATCGTTTTTTTACTTTTAATCTTATTTGTTTAATAATTCTATTTAATTTACTTAAATATTTTACTATTCACTCTTCACTAACAAAAATGGGTTAAATATTTGTTTGGTAATCTCCCTCAAAATATTAACATAGTTTTTTGGCAACTAATAATCTTTGGTTTATTATATGGCTTTACAGATACTTTTTCTTGTCAAGATGATGATGGGCACCAAGCATCGGAATTCGCACAATGGCAGCATCAAGTCATCTTCATCGATGCGATCCAGCAGTAAATCCTTTCAGGCCAAATTGGATAGAATGTCGGAGCGGCTTTACGATGTGGTAAAATCTGGTTCGATGGTCAAAAGGGCCCAAAACAAGAAACGTTTCACGCCGGTGAATTACAAACATCGCTGGTTCGAGCTGACCAAGCAGACACTCTCCTATTTCGACGTGGAAAACGTGGAGGTGAGTCATTTAATTACGGATTCATGTCAACAACAGGTTTAATTCGAAATACACATAAAATTAACCATTAATCAACAAAATCAACATAATCTTATATGAAATTACGAAATATGCGTTGATAAAATCTGTGATTTTGGAAACTGAAGTTATAAATTTGTCTTTTTTATCGATCTGCGAAGTACGAGTTTATTTATAAATCAGAGAGATTGCCCATTAGAAGAATATCAAATATAACTATAAATAATATAAATTATTGAATTGAATTCAGTCAGGAATATGTAAGAATATTTATACATTATAATTGATCATAACATGCATTATAGGTCATTATGATACTTTTAACTTTGGTTATCTTAAAAAGCTCTTCTATTAGATACAAATTCAACCATATTAATCCATATTTAGGACCTTAAAAAGCACTGCATTCTTATCCAAAAGACCAATTGTAATTTAATAAATCAAATAATTTGTGAGATTGCTGAGAGAACTCCTAGTTGGAAAGCGCTGTAGTTCCAGCTAAAAGATAACACTATAGCCAAAGTTAGTCAGTTGCCCGGCTGACAATGACACTTCTTGAGAGATTTTGAGGGAATGGGAACAAGTTCTATGGACAGGGATCTAAAAACTGGGAAAGGGAACTACGTACTGAGCACGGGGACTACGAGGATGATGAATTAAAAGGAGGGCTCCCCGTTCATTATTCATGTTCAAGTGGGCGTCTCATCTTGTCGTCATGGTTTCGTCATTTATTGCGTCGTTATTACGGCACCTACCGGCTAGCAATTTTCACCACCACACGGAAAATGAGGGGAGTGGAGAGATGGAGTATGTGGGGGCGGAAAATTTACTCTGCTCATGCAACCGGCTGCTTTCGTTTCAAAACAAATGTCGCTTTTTCAGAAGAAGAAAAGTCTCCAAACGCCGCTTCGGCAACATCCCTTCCAGTCTGGAAATTATCCACTGTGGGGGGTGGAAAATAGTCTCCAACACACACACACCAGCAGCTGTTAGCCGGTGAAAAAACCCACCCTCGGGTGTAGAGTTACTGTCCTATCCCGCTTTATGCCACTTCCAATTGGAAGCTTCCCATGAGCGCAGCGCTTCCCCCGTAAAAATCCTGGATGAAGTTCAGTAACCGTGGCAGGAGTTTCTATCCTGGCTTGGTCGCATAAGGACGTGCTTTCGTGCGTGTTTTTCTGAGCTAAAAATCATTTTCCGGCTCCCTTAAAAAACGCTCTATTAATTGTTTTTTAACAATTTGCTTATTACTCTTTGGATTATAATTAACTAAAAGTTGTTTAAAATCTCTTAACCATTTATAAATCGTGCTTTTAAACGAATTACTAAGAGTTTTCTAACGCGCCGGCTGCTACCCTTGAAAATTTGATTGGGTTTTCAGTGGCTAGGTGAAACCACCCTTATTTCTCATTATTCAAATACAAATGTTTAACTAAAAACGTTTGAGTAACTAACTTTAACATTAAAGTTCAGTGAATATCCTGTATTTCTTACCATAAAAAACAGTAAGAAAATAAAACATTTTCAAAAGCAATTTCCTTCCATGGCGTCATTGGAAAATTGTGTGCGAATCTAGCCGAAAGCCACCGAAGAAAAAACGGGAAAAGGAAAGAAAACGCCCCACCCAAAACAAAAGTTTTTCAAGTGTAGCCAGCTGCCTCAGTGTGTGTGTGTGTGCGTTAGTGCGTGTGTGTGCGTGAGTGTCCTGCCGCTCATTTTTGCCGCACCCCAAAAATATTCGAATTTTGTGTGTTTCGTTTCTGCGCCTAAATTAAAAGGATTATCCTGACGCCCAACAACACCAGCAAACAGCAAAAAAGGACGCACATATCTGGCATTTCCTAGGTAAGCCACGCAGGCGAAATATATACATATATCCCTCGGGGAGATACTAGTTTTATGTGCCAAGTTTGAATTTCGTAATTGAATTAGATTGTGTTTTCGGTTTGGTTGGTTCTAAGGGATACGCCTAAAATTATGCAATAAAAATACATATAGGGCTTGATTGAAATGAATGGTTATGGTTAGGGGTTTATTATTTTTAGGGGTTTTCCTTGTTTAGAAAATGGAAAATGGTCGTAATAATGATACAAATGATACATATTTCTAAACGATATCTTCAGATCAGTAAGTCTTTAGAATTATGTGTATATAATTTATTTATAACATAGTTTTAGACTGATTTTCAAGAGAATTTAGTTAAACGAAAGTTTTTCTTTATTTTATTTTTGTATAAATAATTTAGTAATTTTTCATAAAACAAAAAAAGTTTAGACTCTTGAAATTGTTAAAAAATGAACATTTTCTCTACAAAACAATTGTCATATCCCAAGGACTCATTTCAGGAACTCTATACCATTAATTTTAAGCTGCAAAATTGATTTTACATTAATTACAAGTATTTGGATTGTTGGATAAATCTCAATGGCAGACAAATCTTAGCATCTAAATCTCAGCTCATCCTAAAAGTTTTTCAAATTTTGAGGAGACAACCGACACGGGTGTCAATCATTCTCTCCTGTCATTCTGTCCCCATCATTTTCCCATTCATTTATTCAATTCGCTGGTTTTCCCTAGCCCACCCCCGTCGCTCACCGCTTTTCTTTTGTTCCCTGAAGCTGCTGCTGCCGAGTTCGGAGGTTCGATGAACTCATGTAGAAAATGTTCAATTAATTGATTGATTCGCGGTGGCTTCTTTGTGTGGTCTCTCTCACCCATCTACCCCATTGGTGGAAAGTTGAGATGGATATGGCCAGCTGCTTTTCTCTCGATGCTCAGCCATCCTTTCTTCCTTCCTTCCTCGCTCACTGGCTTCCTTGTAGTCCAATGTCCGAGCCGTCATGTTTATTGGGGTCAGACCCTCGGACACGGAGCGGGCTGATTAATGGGACAAAGAGCCAGCAACAAGCGGAGCCGGGGCCAACTCATCCACGTAGCCACCTAGTCATTGCACAGGAATTACACCTGGGAAAAAATTCAATCCATTTGGGCTTTTAATATTTATTAGATTATATTTTGTATGAGGTTACATTTCGCCATTCTATTCTGAAATAAGAGTTAATATATTATTTATTTCGATTTTCCTTTACCTATTTATAATCATATTAAAATACCATATAGGCAATTAAAATCTACACTCAATTTGTATAAAATCTTCTCATTTTTATCTGGGTGTAGTCACTGCCTAGGCTTCATCATCATCGTCGCGGTACATCGTTGTCGTAGTTGTGTCATTAACCTGTCATAAAAATCGCAGCTTGGGCCAGGTCCCAGTTACAGTCGCAGGTCCCACAACAGAGGAACAAAAAAAAAAAACCAACTGAAGTGGGTCTGAAGAACCAAAGAACCAAACCAAACCGAACCCAACTAAAAGAACCCAGGGACCAAAGAATCATCCTCTATGGCTCACCACGGTGGTATGCTAATTGAACCTGGACTCTTTGTTTGCCAACACTTTGCCGTTTGCAGTTTGCATTTCCCCCCTGCTCCCTGGCACTGCCAATGCGTTCGTTCTGCTCTCTAATACATTTCGCACAGATTAAGGGGTTATCCGGGTTTAGAACCACAAAAAAAGGCCTGTTTTCCAGAATTTTTTTAAAAGATCCTATGACAATTTTGCAAATTTCATTTATTCTACATTAATACATAAGGTTTGAACTAAATTCTGTAAAATTTTGAACAAAAAATATTCACAAATGAGCCGTTGAGGGAGGGTTGAACTTAACCCTAAAAAAAATTATGTCCTTGCGGTAGGCAGGATTTCTCCGTCAATTTTTATTTGAAATCAAAAAACCAAAATTTTTCTGTTAGCTTATGTGTCTGGCTTGTCTCTGAACGAAGGATTTTTTTAAAAATTAAAAATTGAATTTTTGGGAGCGTTTTTCATGAAAAATTACACTTTTTACGTCAATTTTGGCCATATTTGGGGTTATAAAATCGGTTCTAATTAAAGATATAAAAAATCCTTCGTTCAGAGACAAGAAAAACATGTCTAGAAGAAGTGTGGAAAATCTTAAGTCGATCGGTCTATTAGTTTTCGAGAAATCTTGACTACCGACTTCAAGAAAGTGGTTTTGAGAAAAACATGTTTAAAGTTTTAATTGCCAGTTGTGACTCATACGACGCGCAGGGCTTTAAATTTCTCCCATTCCTACAGTTTTGCTTCGATCGACTTGAAATTTTCGGACAACATTTCTGACACTTTGTACTATTATATAAAAAAGTTTGAAAAAAATGAATTTTTTGAAATTTCAAAACCCGGATAACCCCTTAAGGCTGTAAATAACAATTTCGCGAAAGGAAGGCGGGTCGCAATGCAATGCGCGTTAAATAGAGAAATGAACCCAAAGGGGGGCGTAGTGTGAATAACGAATGTGGGAATGCACTTTCGTTTGGGAGAATTGGCAGAAAACTTTTAGACACAATAAAATGGATTTTTTATACAAGAATTCTGAAGATAATTGGAGTTCTTAATGGTTAAAAAAATTAATATTAATAGAGAAAATTCTTACTTAATACTTTAAAAGAAACAAGAGCAATAACAAACAAGAAATTGGTAAAAATATCTACTTTCGCGTCGATACATTACCGATATATCGATATTTTCAAACTACCCCAACTAGTAGTCTTAGGAACGAACATCCTTCTAATAACACCTTTCTACTTAAGATAATTGCACAGCTACTATGCTAATACCTGATAGCTATATTTATGGCTCTGTCTTGATAAAACCTCTATGACGTGCTGATGTGCATACCCTTTCTCCGCATATATCTTTTTTTTGAGCCCATCCCTATAATGCCTTCCTCTAGCTAATGGAGGTAGGTGCCATCTGCTTGAGTTCCTTTCGGGGGCAATGCCACCAATGTAAGCCCTCCTCTCAGCTCTCGAGGCTCATAAATGTGTGTAAGAGTTGTAAATGCTTTCCCCATTATTGATGTTCTCCAGGGAGTGTGTGTGTGAGTGTATGCAGAAGACTAATC